CATGGAGGCAATTGCAGGATTTTGCAGGATTGAGGTTGCATCCTAGCAAAAGTGTTTCTGAGGGAGTTAGGTTTAATCATATGTGATAGAAATGCCTATTATTTTTTTTGTAGACAGTCTCTTACATGCTGTGGGGGATATTACATACACATGTATGATGTAGGCTGAAGCCCTAATTCACATCTTTAAAATTTGTCAAATGTACCGGTAGGCTAGTCAGCTACTTGAAAAAATATATTGATACATAGGCCTACATGTTTGGTGTTCTAAATATTTTATTAAGTTTATCAAAATTTTTTTAACAGGCTCAGATGCACGCAAATCTCAATCATGGCCATTTAATTCCTGACTGACGCACACAGTTTTAAGCTAGCACATTTAAAACTTGATCGGCACGTTTGGGGATATTGGCTCTGTGGGTCATTCAAAATTTGCGATGTTTCAAATTTCGATTTTCCATTCAATGAAAAACATGTCCAGTTCAGTTCGGGCAAGCCTTATGCTAGCAACCCCCAGCTCCGGCATGGTGTGGTGTCTTTGTGCCATTCTCACCCATTGTGAAAACAAATTGGTGCTGAGTGTCTCTTACGTAACTATGCAAGTGCTTTCCCTGAATCATGTGATTAGCAACAGTGTCTTTGGTCTGGAGAATTCAAAGTTAAAACGTGCCAAGCATTGCGAGTAAGTCAGTGTACCATTTTTTTTCTTCAAACATGTCAAATGTAACTCCCAAAGGGTATACAATGTAGGTTACTAGCTATGTTATACCCTGTACATGAACATGTACATTGTAGATCATTAGATGCATGCAACTTGTCCCTCAGATCAGACAATTTCCTCATATTTAACATCCAGTTAAATATGTAAAGCTTGTAATTTCCTTGTTTTTGGGGTTTTGTTTTTTGGTTACTATTGAATTGCATGCCTGAGATATGGAATCGATTCTATTTGATTTTGACCTGCAGTTGCCCAAGCCTAGAACATGGTACAATGTACACATCATGCACGCTGTACATAAGCAGAGCCAGACTAGACTAGTAAAAACAAGGCATGTTTCCTGTCGGCTTCCTGTGCTAATGCAGACAGCTCAGTGTTAGCAAACAAAGGGCTTTTCTGATGCCTCATTAGTAGTCTATTAGCATCTTGAGAGGTGTAAATCCTTTGTGTCTCAATTTACCTACCAACACACAGGGACAGGATGATTTGGTAGTCCCACAGTGAGTCCAAAGTCTCATGACTCATCCTGAAGGCACTCCCAGCTGCCTGGTATTGTTGACTGTGGCAGAGAAAAAATTCTGTTTACAATGTACTTGTACTTTACAGTTCAGAAAAGGTAAAGTCTAGTGTTTGCATTTCTTCTGAATAATACCATTTCTAGGTAAAAAGACTGTGGGTTATCTTTGTAAATCTTGAGAGGAATGTTCCAAACTTACACAAAAGACAACTAAATATTGGTGGATTGATAGTAGTCATGTACCGGTATGGTCAGTACATGTAGAACAAGTTTCTCGGTCAATTTGTTTTAAAATCCTTTTACATTTTGTTTGTTCATTACATGTATGTACTTCTTTTGCCATTTGCCAATTCCTACATATGTGCAGTTAAAACTACATTGCATTTGGCCCATTATTTGGCACTGCCAAAAAACAACCCACCGTTGTCTACATGTATGTGTCAAATTATGGAGCTATTTATTGATGTATAAAAACACATTAAATTGTACTCTTATGTTGTGTTCACTGTACATGTATGTAGGATAGCGCACAATGTTGATATTAGACACAAAGGTGTATTTGACCTACATGTATATTTTAGCCTCAATGCTTCTTTTAGGCCTATATCATCAACCTGACTTGTAAGTTGTAAGTAATGCCATGTGTGTACCATGTGTAGTAAACTACATGTACACTTCAAGGCATTCGGATACCATCCGGTATGCATGCAAAAAGCAATGTGCATGATAGTGTCAAACTGTTAAGTACTTACATGTACATTACTTTGTATCTTCAGTTTATGCTTTAATAGAGAAAAGGACCCCATCCTTTCATTATAAATCGAGTAATCCAATGTTCAGGCCGTTTGGTTTCCTTGTTTTGAATCTGAGTTTCAGATTAGTTTTAGATTTGATTTACAAATGTACATGTATGTACATACATTGTAAGTACATGTAGCTGGTGTTAAACATGTACTAATTAATAATTATACATCTTGTAATTTCACAAGTGTGATTGACCTACATGTACTGTAATATCAAACAGGTTTTTTTTTAAATCCCAGTTACGTCTTTTAAAATTTTTTTATCAAAATGTGCACAGGATAATTGTTTGGTCATTGCTGTTTGAAGCTACCGGTACATGTAAGTATCTTTGAAACTAGAGATTGTATGATATACATGTACATGTATTTGGTTTGAATCTGCACTAGTCTTTTCGCAAAATTGATACAGTTTGCTCAATTGTACACAATGTACATGTACATTTATGTACATGTACCTGTAGATGCATCATGTAAATAATGTAGTTAATACGCACAGTTGTCAGCCTACTGTGCATTAATTTATAAACAGCAAAAAGTGGAATTAACCTTAGTGCTGTATAGTTCAAATGTGTGAAATATTTCTTGACCCAGATTTTGCAATCAATATTTTGTGACAGGCAGAACACATGCACTGCATGCCTGCATTATGTATGGTATATTTAATATATAGACTGTACTGCACATGTTTGCACATGCAATGCATGTACAGTACGTAAGTACTGTATGCAGTAAGAATTTTTTTTAACACACTTAAATTAGTTAAAAACAAGTTATTGCAGAACTGTGTATTGCCTGAATTGCCCGTCCTGACATGAAAACTTTCCATTTTGATTCTAGTGTATCATTACAACTTTTTTCCTTCAGTTTCATCATACATGGAGTGCTGTTGCCTCGTGGTTAAGGGCATTGGATTCATGGTCTGCAGGTAAAGCTGCAGGTTGTGGGTTCGAGTCCAGCCTGGGGTCATGGTGCGTGTGCCCTTGGGCAAGGCACTTTGTCACTCATTGCTTCTGTCCACCCAGGAGTAAATGGGTATGGAATTAGCTTCCTTACGCCTAACAGACTACATCGAGCTGTATATTTCCCAGGGAGCTGAGGTGGTATTTGGAATGTTTAATTGGCCCAATGATCAGGGGTAATAATAATAACTTTGATCTTAGTTAAAAGCGCTATAGAACCTGTTAATTATTATTTTACATGTACATGTAAGAACACTCAAATTCTGTGTGCAAGCCACATACATGTACATGTACGTGTAGATTGTTGCAAAAAGTTTAGATTGATGACAACAAATGCATTCAGTGGATTCTGCAGTATGTGTACATGTGTATGCAGTGGCTTTATGCAAAGGTTGCTAAAACACGTATACATGTGTACTCCTTCATATGTATGTATGACTGATGAAATACAACTAGACGTACAATGTACTTGAAACACGATTTCTGGCAGTGTCACTCACTACTCAGAAATGACGGATAATAGGCCCTAGTAGCTACATGTATCATGTACAATGTACCATTACCAAGACCATTTTCCCTTTTGGTCATTAAAATTTAAATAGCTGTGCTCACTTTTATTAATCATTCGCATCTTTAGCAAATTATTGCACAGCATTAGTAATTTTAAGTCCGTTGTGGTTAATTTTTGTGGTACATGTACATTTTTGTACCATCCAAGTGGACACAAACAACAGTATTCCTCAAATGTATTTTAACATTTGATATAGGCCTACCTGTATTATAAATGTTTAGATTGAACTTTGAAATGAGTGCAGCCATGTCCTGAAAAAGGATATATTCCACCTGTAAGTTAATATTGTTGCATTCTGCGTACATGTAGTTTGTCAAATGCATACAATAAAAAATGTAGTGTACCGTACCGTACATATTATGGAAAGTCCCCTATTTAACAGGGTTTGATTTGTGATTTTTTTCTTGAATGTTATGAAAAGGGTCAGCATGTACATATTTATAAATGTATACATGTACTACATACAATGTGTACATGAAACATTGACATAAGATGCACACGTAGTTTATTGGTTAACTCTTTCAAAAGACAGGGTCTAGGTTAAAGGGAATAGACCCTATACATTATTTGCTTTTGCTATAATTTTCAGAAATGGATGGAATTGGGGGGTTGGAAATATATAGCAAATATAGTTACACGTACACTGACTTTTTTGAGGTTTTGGGTTTGAAATGCTATAAAAACCAAGAAAAACAATCATTTTCCTGTAGTCTGGTTCCCTGACTCCATACATGTATAAGAAGAAACAGAGCAGTTTACATACATTGGGGAATTGTAAGGTCAGGGAACCAGTCTAGCTGGCTTGTACCCGTTCATAGGTGTGTAATCGATTGCAAACAAGTGCGATGGTCAATTGGGGCCAGTATTTGAAAAAAAACCAGGTTTTTGATACAAAAATACCACTTTTCTTGAAAATGACAGTATACATGTACCAGGTGCCATGATTTTACAGGATGCTTTACACTGTCATTCACTAACAGTCCAGCAAAGTATTTCAAAATGATTTGGTAGTTTTATTTTTTGATGTTTGCAAATGTTGTATTTTCCCTTTAACCCCAACTCCCTAGGGGGTGTGCAAAATCATATTGAAATTGGAGGATTCAGGACTGTTAGGGTTAATAGTTTGTTGGCACATTAAATACATCTAATGTAGACTTTATTTGTCATGTCGGAGGATCTAACTTCTAAGAATTTCCCACTCAGTAAGGGGTTGCCCCACCTTGCCATTCAAACCATGTACAATACTTACACACTGGTCAGGGACACATAAGGCCTACGTCATTCACTGCAGGTCATCAGCTGATTGGTCCGTTGGTGTTGTTGTATGCGTTAGGTGTACATGTAGATATGTGTAACTTTTCTTATTGTGTCGGTCTGAATAGTGATTATTGATTTTGTGCATTGAGGAACAGGCGTCTGTTTACCTGCAGCTTTTGTACCAAGTTAAAAGGACTGTGAGTTCATCAAAAGATAGAGGCACCTTTTGGGTGACAGTAGGTTTTTAAATTTTGGCTTCGCTACAGTCACAGAATGTTTACTGCTTGATTCTTCCATGGAGGTAGAATTCTACATACAATGCAACTTTTGCAAGTATATTGTTGCTGTCAGTGTGAGTGTACATGTAACCTGAAAATTTGTAAGATATTTTCAAGTGTTGTAAAGCAGTTTTGTAAAACAGTTTGGACAGTGCACTACAGTAGCTTTCACTTTGCAGTAATTTCTGATTATGTATACATGTACATGTACAACACGTATGTTCACTTCTGTAAGTTACAATGTACTATGCACAGTGTTTGCCATGGTATTGAGTTTTTCCCTTCAAGGACATAATTGTATAGGCACTAGAAACTTAGTGCTGTAGAGAGCTTTCAGCAGGAGATTGTGGGTTCAATTCCAACTCAAGCAAGCTTGTGACATTTTTATTAAAAGTACATGAACAGCAGTTAGTATAGAGTGCTAATAAATAATGTTAATTTGCCGATGAAAAAACAGTCTAAAAAGGTCCATTCACGTATTCTGTTTAGCAAGCATTGGTCACCTGTCGACAGAAACATGTTTATGCTGTATGAGCCAGCCATGCCAGTGTTATGCTGACATTTTTGTTATGTTCAGATTAACCCGTGCCAAATTCCCTTCTGATGAACAAGTTCCTTTTATATTCTGTTGAAAGTACTTGTGTACATGTACCATACATGTATACGTGTACATGTAGCCCCATCACTCGGCTCGTCTGAGCGTTCACCACTTGTGATCCTTCATTTCCTCTGAAGGAAATTCACTGACCTAGTGTCACGGCTTGACTCATGCTCTTGTGATTCACAAAATTCACCAACCGGCATATTTTTACATACAAGAAAATGTATCTCTATACATGTACAGTTGACATGCATTTATATGTAGATTATTAGTTCACCAGTCACATGTGCTGAGGTACATTAATTTAATTTAAATGTGAACAAATTCACTGTCGTAGCTAGTGTGAATAGCTTCATTGAAATCACAAACACATTTGATAGTGATACATGTATGAAAATTATGTGAACTTGCCTGAGGATACTACATGTAGATATACTCAAAATATCATGTACTTATAATGGCATACAGAGTAAAGTTCATGGATATACACTGAACTGCACATGTACATGTACCTTAATAGGTCAATTCAGTTGACTCCCGTTAATACAAACTCAGCCAGACCTCAGCCAAAATGTCTGTTTAAATCGGACTTTGTACCCCATTAGGCCAAAAAAAAAAAGTCTCCGGTTTCTGGTATGGAGCTTGCCCAAAAAGTGGTGCAGCGACGCGGCTTTTTTTTTTTTTTTTACCTGATTTTTTTGCTTCAAATGTCGGCTGATGACTGCAAATGGTGCCCGACTAAACTTAGTACAAATAGGCCTATACGGGATTGGGAGTCCAGATAGGCCACATAAAGCTTATTCACGACCATAACCCCATCTAAAAACACGTTAAAATTGTGATGCAGCAGAATTCCAATCAAACCAGTGAGTTTGGCGGTTTTTTGACATCATCTTTCACTGAAAAAAAAAACTTTTTCATTTTGCCGACGCGCATGGCTACGGCGACGCGCGCGCATACCAGAAACCGGAGACTTTTTTTTTTTGGCCTTAGTGTGGAAATGCCCACGTGCCCAAAATTTGTAAAGTGTATTGTCTGATTCTTTAAAAAAAGATTTCCCAGAAAAAATTCTCAAAAACTTCTTTCTCTGTGTTCAATGTTCATAATCATTGGACCATTCCTTCCTCCATGATTGGACCATGTGTAAATATTGAATAGGTACATGTACATGTACACATACACCCACACTGGACTGTACGCAAACTATATACTGTGAAACTTCACAGCATTTTTGTGTTAATGGTAAAGTACATGTACTTAAGACTCCTTTGTTGATAAATTCAGATTGGTCTTTTTCTTCCAACAATTGCATATTTCACAACACCTTCATGTTGACAAAGGTTTCTTACTTACATTTGTGTGAATGCCACCTGGGGTGGGGTATACTTACTATAGACAGGTACATGTAGACTGACCCCCTCCTTATTAGAGGTACATGTACAGGTAACTTTCATACCGTTAAAAAACAGGTTACTGCATGGCCCCTAAGGAATGTTGTTCTTTCACTTGCAGTCTGAGGTGCTTTTAATAAAGCGCTTTTGTTGTCCCAGGCATTGAAGCCAAATGCTGTCCTCAGGAAAGAAAAAGGGAAAAATATTATGGAAGAGAGAGAGAACAAAAAATCACTGTTTGGGGTGTGCTTGTCGTGGGAAAATATACATGTACAGTGTACATGTACCTACAGGTAGTACAATCAGAAATTTGCTTTCTACTTTGTCGCAGTTAAAGGTACATACCGGTTTACCCGGTACATACATGGGTTGTTCTATAAATTAGGGGTCCAAAGTGGGACATTGCATAAAAAGGGCCCAAAAACTATTTAAATTATGGTCAATCTGGCTTTTTATCAGGATGGTAAAGTGCAAGCCTTTTCAACAGAAAGGAGATCCTTAACAACTTCATTTCATCTGGAATTTTAAAACCAATAGGTATCACACATAACTGGGACACCTCAAGGCACCATGTTACGTGTGAAATACTACAAAGGGTCATATATTTTTTGTTTCTTAGCATTGCTGTCTTGTTGTTTTCTTATCACTTTATTTAATGGACAGAATTTTTAAAATACCATGGAAAAGTAAACAATGTTACCATGAAATACACTTTACACACAGCCGAATTGGTTCACTAGTAACAGGGACACGGGGACACCAAATGTTGGGGAACACCATATCACATCTTCAGACATGTATTTCTTTAAATATTGTATCATGTTGAAATTGAGTTAGTACATCCATCATTTTGACCTAAAAAATGGCATAGTTTACCTATTAAGGAGGAAAATGTTACTATTTTGAGCCTACTTTTTTGTCCCACTTTTTAGCCAAAAATATGATCATTTTTGGCTTATTTTTAACAAAAACAGGAACTAAATGGGATCAAGATAACACATTTGTACGTTTTACATGTATCAGTGCAACTAATTGGAGTTTGTTACACGCAAAGTATAATTAACTTTAATACATTTTTCTAAATTAAACCAAAAAAAACTATTTCCTATTGGACCCCTAATTTTTACCGGTAGAATGACACATGTATATGTTTAACATGTACATATATGTGATTAGGTATTTAATGAGGAAATAATACTATTATTTTCAATATATATTTTTTAAATTAGAATTGAGAGATTTACGTATTGATAGCTCTAAAAGTCTCGATAGTCCACCTCATTCCAACGGTAGATAAATGGGGAGATCGCTTGAGTTACCCTTTGAGCATTATAGGGACAAGGTTGGGTACAGCGTGAAAATTTGAAGTAGACTTAATTACAAATCGTAATGGTCAGGGGGTTTTTGGTACAATGTATGCAGGCCAATACAGCAGGACAACATGGTTCGGTACATCAGTGGCGCTCACTCAGCGGTGAAACCAGGCTTGAATTGAAGACTAGAGCAGTGCTGACACGTTTTTTGCGATAAACATGGTCGCCATCACGCATGTATTTTAGTGCGAGATACTGCCAGATCTAAAACACTTTTGGACACAGCAAAAACTAATCATAACGAAGCCGAAATCACCATTTTTAAAAAAAAAATTATTTTAAATATGATGTCATAGAAAACTGAAAATCATTGTACAAAGTTCTGTGAGCTTGGCAAATTCCTCTTCTGTTTCAAGTTCAACTTCAAAGTTGCATGCTGGAAGCCTGGAAAAGCCATTGAAAACTCCTGAGCTGGGACAGCATTGACCTAAAATAATTATCTGCTTCATTTGTAGCATTACTTTGTTTTTCAGTGTATAGGATATATCATTCAACATTTAAAAATCAAAATTTGGGGTGGTTGGGTGGGTAGGTCAAAACAATTTCAAAAAACGATCAAAATTTTAAATTATTTACTTTTTTTAATGGCCCCATACCAGTTTAAAACTATGGAATGGATTGCATTCATGTACATTACATGTATGGGATGGCAGCACAAGTCAAAGCTGGCTTCATTGTCTGTTCAGTCACTGTTTAGAAAGGAGGGGATATTGGGGGACACGGCAGTGTGTGGCACATATAACATCACTTGATGCATAATCACAGCCATATTGACCGGGATATCTCTGAATAATGCATCACACGTCAGGCTCCATTTTGGTTTTAAGTCCAAGTCCTGTACGTGTTTATACTTGTCTGCAGCATGCAGCCACTGGTAGGAGCACAATTGGGTGATTAATCGTAGTCTACATGTACAGTATTATACAAATGTACATGTATACATTGTAGCCCTAACCCAAAAGAACATCTCTATACATTTACAGTACTCTTAATGGTCTGAATCTTTAACAGAAGTCCGCTTCAATTGTGCACCTGAGCTTGTAGAAATAATAAAATTTACATTTTTATTGATTAGATACCGCATATTTTCGTGCAGAATGCATACTGGGTAGTCTGATGCGGTTTAATTTTTAATTAAATCCCTGCTTTGAGTATACATTCATTTGTACGTAAAAATGAACTTCATAATTCCTGTCCACAGATGCTACTTTTTATGGCCAATAATTTATCAATGCCACAACAGATTTTGGACTACTTTGCTTACAGGAACATGAACATGCATTGTCTTAAACCAATACTGTACTAGTGGTGTGCATTTAGTAGTACGGGAACCGGGTACCCTATTGAAATAACCCGTACAAGAAACCCAACCCAAAATTCAAATCCAAAAATATCTTATGGTGTAAACTGCATTTTTTGTGAGCGTCATCTGTCATGCGTTAAAATGCGCATTAATGTGAAATCGGTTATTTTGAAGATTCCCCACAAATGTCATGCCAAAACCTTTCTTTTATTTTGTCTGAGAAGTTACTGAGTGAAATTGGGAATCACTTCGGGACAGAAGGACTACATGTAAATCTCGTTTAATATCAGTCCACAAAGAAACACACTGTTTAACACCAAACAATATAATGGATTATCTCAACTCACCCATCTGTACAAATACAAGATCATCTGGTAGCCTCCATACCGGTACATACATGTACAAACAAATCCGTGCTCACAAAGACTGCTACCGGTTTTCATTATATCCCAAGACCCTATTGGAATGGAATATACTTCATCAAGACATCCGTACCGACCTGATCTAAATTCATTTAAAGCTGCGCTAGACTCCATCAACATCAACCAAGTGATAAAAACAGCGCATTATATCAATTAATGGCTTGTCTAGCTGTGTTGCGTTTAGACCCTTACCCGACGTACGACGACAACCAGGTGTTTGTACGGAGAGTGATACAGATTTGTAAAGTTGGTTATAAAAATACATACGGTAGGTACCTGATCCTATAATCTGGATCCGGTTCCTGACATCAGCGGTCGGGTAATCGGGTACCAGGTTCCAATGCACGTGTACCCCTACTTAATAATGCACTGAATCGAATTACGTCCTACCATGATGTTTTCACCGTCATTACTTTTTCCCCTATCATTATCAAGAATTGTAAAATGTATTCCTTGTTCATTGTTCAGAATCATGTATGAATTTCATTGTGTACTGATTCAACCTTTTATTTTATCTTTGCAGATTATCTTTGTAAGGAATACCATGCTTGAAGGTCACCAGGTGTTGACAGTAGTTTCCAATAGTAGACAAGGCTTTAGTGGTTAACATGTCTTTGTCATCAAAGAGAACCAGCCCTATGACTGGTGTCCCCTCAGAGGACAGAAATGGCAAAGCTGCAGATCATCCCCCATCAAAAACAAAATCAGCATCGGCATCAGCTGCCAGGAAAAATGGAGGTGGGAGCCTTGCAAATGGGAGCATAGCTGAAAGTGATTTGACTTCTGCCTCTTCAATGCGAGAACGCATCCCATCAATAGAGCAACGTAAGCAAGGTGCAGCTACTTCCTCCAAGTCAGCCAAAAGCAGAGCAGAGGCATTATTATCCAGGAAGGTGACAGGGTCGGCTACTTCAGTGAGAACCCAGCCAGTGGTGACATCCAAACCACCTACAAGCAAGGGTCCACGAAGATCTACCTCATCAGATAAAATGCATACAGGGCCTGAAAATGGCATCTCAGGGCTGACCCAGGACCAAGGAGCATCCAGGACTGGTGGGACACTACCTAAAAGGGAAGTCAGCTCTGCTAGCTCTTGCTCTAGCTCTGAAGGTGATGACAAGGTACATAAGGTCACCTCTCAGAAACAGCCTCCTAAGAGGTCAAGTCTAGCAGAGGAGAATGGGAAAAAGGTATGGGGAGGTGGACCAGGGAGTAAGAGCTCTTCAGCTTCTAAATCAAAGACTCCCCCAAGTGTTAGGAGAAAGTCATCCCCTCCATCATCAGAAAACAACTCAAGGTTTCAGCGGCAGTCATCCCTAAGATCCTCTAGAAATGGATCGTCTCAAGCTCAAGGTAGAAAACCATCTTCAAGAACCCCATCCAATTCATCACTAGATAGTGGATTGTCGCCTACAAAGCTTGCTGAAAACGAGAGTCGGAAACTGAGAAATGGAGCTACAAAAAGCAGCAGCGAGGACTCCATTAGTGACACTGAGCGTAAAACAAAAAGTGCACTTTCAAGGACTCCTTCTACAAAGAGAAAGGTTTGCATGGAGATTGTCTTGGAAAAGAAAGTTATCAGTAAGTCAAGTGGGACTACAGTTGTGAAAACAGAGTCCGGCATGGGTAAATCTCCCTCCAAACACAGCCTGTCTTCCCCCACGGATGAGAATGCCACACGGACCAGTCCAACAAAGTCCAAAAGTGCAACCACACTGAAGCCAAGCATTCTTGGAATCCACACTGGTGCTAGGATGAAGGTGCGAACCGCTTCCAGTGATACAAACCAGAAACTTAACGGTACAAGTATGGATAGATCTCGTGGTGTGAGTGCACCAGTTGTACGCAGGGCTGATCACAATTTGCCTGGTGTATCACCTTATGCTCCGGTGCGCGCCAAATCTGGAACAGTACGGTCTAGTGATCCCAAACCAAATCTGAAAAGTCCAGACCGCAGTAGGGTTATGTCTAAGGTGATAATGCCACAACGCTCCCGAACCAGAGCTCGAAGTATGGAACCAGTGGGTAGGAGTGCCCCCGTTCCGATGACATTGGTAGATTCCTCCTCTAATCCTGAACCTGTCCCAGCTCCAGAAAACACAACAAACAACACCAACCCAATCATCCATGCTCGCAGGAGTCAAAGTGTTGAGCGCAAGTCCAACAAGGATAGCTTTGTTGCATCACGCCGTCAAGCTTGGGAGGATAAGGCGTCCCAATCCCCAGCCAAGAAGGGACTGGTGTCCCCAGAGAAAAAGTTTCAGAGGTCAGGGGTTGGCCGAAGATCATTGATCGATGAGAGGAAAGCAATGCTCTTTGGAGGTTTTTCAAGTGCAAGGGGTCAAGTTAAGGACAGTGAGGCTGCTAAGAAGCCTGCCATACCAGCCAAGCCGGAGGCAATCACTTCCAAGCCTCCCCTATCAAGAGGTGATCGCAAAGCTTCAATTGAATTGCACATCAGTGAAGAGTTACCATCTGCCAAGACTGTGTCATCAGTAGCCAATCCCCCAGTGGACACAGTCAAGCCTGCCGTTCTGCAAGAGAACACACAGAAGATACAGCCCAATGCTATCAACATGTTGCCCAATAAGCTGCAGTCATCTACCGATGAGGTTGACTCCACTAGGAGATATTCACCCAGCAAGGTATAGCTCAAGACTTATTCATGCTTGAATACCATTGATATGGTTTTCGATGGGGGAGGGGGCGGGGGCGGGGGAGCTGTGCAATATCTTTATTAACATAGGCGTGGAAGGTTTAAAATCCTAGCAAGAAGTCACGCCAATATAGTGAGTGTGCAGCATTATTCAGTGGTAGCTTGGTCAACAAATCTTATAAAACATTCCACTTGAAACTTATGGTTCTAATTTGCACTCTGCCCGGCAGAACTAAATGTATCACAAAAGCAGGAAGATATTGGATTGAGCTGTTCCATTCAAGGACATTTAATTCACAAATGTTATATGTACATGTATAGACTGAAGCCAATGGTTTTAGAAATGGAACACGTAGGAAACTACACTTGTCTGTGTTTTGAATTCAATTTGCTTTCATTTTGGGCATTTTCTTAATTGATTGACTTTCGTAGGAGAATGCGATCATCAATGTAGCCAATGACAAGATCTACTCTCAGAAGACATCCATGGTAGACAACCAGGAGTATGGGGATGCCTTGGAGAAATGGTCAATGCTGAAGGAGAATCAGACTATTGGGGGGCTGGACAAGAAACGAGATGATATCAGTCTTGACAACAAGGAAGCTGAGAGCCGTCGACAGGCCCTGCTAGAATACAGCAACAGGTATGTACATGTACATGTATGTGTGTGGACTCAAAGCATGAACAGAAGATGACCCCGTGGTACCATTATATGTGCATGCTCTTATTCATGTGAGTGTTGCGCACAGTACACCCAACTAATTTTTATGTGAATGTGCACAAACACATAAGTGTCTTTGCATGGGCGCATTGTGCCATCATTGATGGGGCACTTGTATGGAGTACACAATACAAATGTGGTACTGGTGTTTTTTTGTTGTTGTTGTGTGGATAACATGACTAGTGTAGCGTTAATGTTTTAATGTTTTTGACGTTGAACTCCTGGACGTGTTAGTACTATTTTAGGACTTTTCATTGAGGGTTAATTTTGATAAAAATTTAACTGTCAAAGATTTGTCTTTAGTTTATACTCTCCACTGACAAGATTCTGGTCAGTATTTGACAGTTAATTTCTTAATCAAATACATCACTATATCATCTGGTTCAGGTCCCCATGGTTGAAGATATGATATCCTAGTCCGTGTTTTTGTGCCTTAGTGTCTTCTACATTCCCTTCCTGCTTTAAAAAAAAACAATTGCAAAAACATTAATCTTCTAGTGTTAATGTCGATTTTCAGTACTGTGCCAGTTTTGACCAGTGTGTCAAGAGAACATGTACAGATAGATGTTAATTAATGGACCAAGTGGAAAGCACGAAAGTTCTACTCAGCCTTTCGACTTGGTTCAAGAGATTTCATTTTTTTTAAAGTTTTTATGCCGATGCTTGCTATCACAGGGAGCTGGAGACATCAAACTACAAGAAACAAATCATTGAGCCGGACCCAATGCAAGACTGTCCTCCGGAGGTGAAAGATGGTCATTACTACCAGCGTATTGTCAATGAGGAGCAGGCTCGAATAGAGTCACTGTGTACGCTAGCAAACAAAGACTCGGAGAAGGAACTATCAGAAGAAGGTTAGTACATTGCCGGCTTTTTTTTTTACTATCTGTGCTTCTGAATTCTTTGAAGTTAATAGGACACCATTTTGATGTCGATTTACGAACGCAACATACAAGTGGGGAATTCTCTGTTCAACTCATGAAACACATTGTAGCAGATTATTCCTTAACATTTGATTATTGACCATCACTCGGCGAAACACAGAAAAAAATGAGAATTAAGTTGAGAATGGAGCTGTGACAAACCTGAGACGACATCACTGCAGTATGTTTTAAATGGCAATGTCAGAATGATTTTAAAAAACCCAACTGCATTACATGAGCCCATTTAATCAAAGTTTGACAGTTTTTAAATTTGAATGCTGTATCGTTCATGTTTATATTGTAAGCTCTACTCAGCATTTCAAGTTGTTTGAAACCATATTCTTATCAACAAAAAAGCCAAACACATGCTGATTGAATGGGGTATTCAATTATATGCGAAGTTTTAGCCTGAACTATTTCCAGTGCACTACGCAAGCTATACAATAAATTGCCACAAGAAAGGAATAAAACCTACCTTAATTATTGTTAATGTATTCACGTTTGATAATTCTTAAAAAATAATGGAAAACTCAGGTTGTGCGTACCATATGCACAACGCTAGTCAAGACGGGAAACTGGCCAAAACTCGGTAGTGCGTGAATACATACAGTGTATGAGGCCGGCGGACGACAGACCTCGTTTTTACGGTGGACAACTTTGGGGAAACACGCTGCATCGTATCACTCCAAATACGAGTGTGCCATCTCAAATTGAACTCTTGAACACGGAAAATACATACATGGACAAGAGAGATCAAGTTCTGTGAATTAACTTGCAAAAATGTTCTTTCTCCATCGGTGTTTTCTTGGCATTTTTACGATGTCGAATCCGACTGACCAGTTGACAGTGCACCGCGCAGCCTGCCATGCATAGCCATGCTAGCGCTAGCGCATAGCTATGCACAGACTGGTTACCGCATTTTCATCATGTCTTCTAAATTGGCCCCTGCGCGGCGCGGCGGGAACCAGTCGTCGCCGCATTGAGCTAGCATTGTGCACGATTTTGCGCAAGGATTTGTTTTTTAATTTTTTCAAAATTTAAACATGGTTTCTTAATTTGACATGCAAATGACTTCAAAATTGTTGTTCTTTCCTTCAGCTGGTGGTAAGCTTAGAGCTTCAATTGGTAAAGCCTCCCTCCTCACAAACAAGAAATTTAAGCAGTTCCGTGGACTCTGCGAACAGAACATTGTAAGTAAAAACTCTTGAAGTGGTGTTTTTTTGTGTTTTTTGTTTGTTTAAATTTACAAGACCGGACATCACTTTCATCCAAGTCATTAGTGCATGTTCCAACCACATTGTAAAATTAGAGTTTCTCCCACTGCTGCAAGGGCCTTGTCATGTATATCACCTTTTGATGCATTAACCCTAACTCCCTAGGCCTTTTTGCTAGGATGTAGCCTCAATCCTGCAAAATCCTCCAATTGGCCTCATGGAAAAATAGCATATAGCCTCAATCCTGCAAATTCCTCCATTATTTCTTGAATATGGTCCGTGGAGGGGTGACCACTGCCTGAATTCTGCAAAATCCTCCGGCTATGACTGTTAATAGGCTGAGGCAGAGGCATTGACATCCTGGAGCAGTGCGGAGGATGTCAAGTATAATCAAGGACTAAATGTATGCATGGCTGAACATAAACAACACAAGGTCCGGCCCAAGACCTTGACACAGTGCGTACTCCGAAATCAGCAACACACTTTTACCATGTAACCTCAATCCTGTAAATTCCTCCAATTTGCAAAAAGGATTTTGGAGGATTCAGGGCGGTTAGGGTTAATTAAATGTGCAATGAATTTACAATGTACATCCTATATGAGTATCAGTACCTGAGGCAAGATCCCTGAATTATCCAGAAGATTACTACAGTGAAACACCGCTATAATGAACACCGTGGGATGTTCACTGTGTGTCTCTTCTCTCTGCAACAGATTTTGTTGGATGAAGGCTTACTATTCATGCACTAAGTAACGGTAGTTGGTGCTTTTATGTATGGACTGCATGCATGCTCAGTGGATGGCGCTTTGTGACCACTGGTGAAAGCTCAAGTGTGTGGGACACACTGCCTGTACATACTGGCTCACACTTTTATGATACAGAGTTAAAACTCATTTTATGCTGAATGTTCACAAACCTGTATCATCTTTGGGTGAGTGCCAGGCATACAGCTATCTTGGGCATTGGAAGCCAAGTATTGATAGATGTTTGTGTTATGATGATGGCCATACTTAGCATTAGTCATATCAAACATTCTCAAGTCAAGCTTGTGAAAGGGGCAAAGTATATGCACCCATTTTTCCCCTCTTAATTGTACTCAGAACTATAGCTTACACATAATGTCCACAAAAAAGCAACCCCTTTAAACACCCCCTTTTTTGCAGCTTATCGCAAATATTGATATATATTTGACAAGTATAGTTCATTAGCTTTTCAACAATGAAAAAGTCTTTCCAATCAAAAAAACATTCATTGAGTTATGGCCAATTCAAAAAAAAGTGTCACTTTTCCATTTTTTTCCAGGGCAACTGACGCTTGACTACCCTCCTAATGACTAATAAGTGACAATTTAGATCATGGACAAAATGAAAGAGCGGCACTTTTTTTGAACTGGATATAACCCAATAAATGTTTTTCTGATTGGAAAGATTTTTGTTGTTGAAAAGCTAATGAATAAACTTGACAAATCTGAATAAAAAAAAGCTGTGAAAAAGAGGGTGCTTTCAGGGTTTTTTTGGGGTTTTTTTTTTGGGGGGGGGGGGGGCACCCCACACAAAATTACCAGTGTTTGCTTAAAGGGAATGCAGGCTATTCTAGCGCATACTTGATAAATAACCACACAATGGAATTTGTATTAAAAACAATGAGATAGATTGAATTCTCCTGGATTTGTCAGTCTCATCTACATGTAAAGCCAACATTACCATTTCTTGATGCGTGAACTGAAGGATGAATACATCACCAAAAGACTTATAGTGGTATTACATGTGTAATAAATTGCTATGTTCTTAACAGAATCCAGTGGAAGGAGAAGCCCTTTCTGTGACTAATTTAGACCTGACTGGATTCTGGGACATGGTCTTGCTTCAAGTGGACGATGTCAATAGTATGTTTGCTGAGATCGAGGAGCTCAGGCAAAATGGATGGAGAACGCCAAAACAATTACCGCAAAAAATCAAGGTAAATGACGAAATGGCAACAAATGTGTAAAAGATGGTGTGTCTGCTTGAAGAATTGTCAAATGATAGTTCACATGTATAGTCTTTTCATATGTGTTACCTGCACCAAAAACTCAAGTCTAATGATGTTTAATTAGCTCGTTTTTTAATACATAAAAACACTATAACTAAGTTTTTGTTCTGATGGGTTATTTATTTTGATTGCTGAAAACACCCTCAAATTCTGTCAACAGAGTGTACAATATTACTAAGAGTAAACAGAATTTTCAACCTAGAGGGGAAATGCACTTTTCATTCAAAAGGTACTTGATAATGAAATGATTTTTCTCTGAAACAGAAAAGTTGAAACGAAAGTCTTTTCCATTTTCCCCCCAGACAACTGGTAAGAAGCCTGGCCTGACTTCCCCACCCCCCTCACCGGGGATCTACAAGTCCACAGCTCACCCTCTGCATCCAGTGGATCCCAAGGCCAAGGCAGAGAGGGAGAAGAAAGCAGTCAAAGCACGGCAAGCTAGGGAAGAGGCGCGGAGGAGGCTCATGGCAGCTAAGAAGGCAGCTGCTAGGAAGAGAGTAATGTCTGAAGATGGCGAGCCACCGGTGCCGGTGGAGATATTCACACCAGATAAGTCATAATTTGGGAGATGAGTTCAGTAGTAAACCATCAATGAACACAAATGGATTTCACATAGCTACATGTAATAGCTATAACAATTGATGTTATTATAACTAATGGTAAACCCAACCCCTTCAGCTGTTGAAGGGCTTATTTGAAATTTTGGATTTAAATAAAAGGTACATGTACATGTAAGTAGGCTCTTGATCTACCATTGTCACAGAAAACTGAGTCCTCTGAACCCACAAGTATAATGCCATGTGTGGTATGATCTCGGTCTTAACTACGTATGCATGTAATGATACTATTACTGCTACTGATGGATGCTAATCCCCCATTTCCACCATGGGCCAATACTCGGGTGCATTCCTTTTCTGGAGATGCTGTGGGATTTGTGCATGTGGTTCTGTGTACATTCAGTTACATGCACATGATCTACCTTCCTTTATTTGCTCTTGGCACAGAGTCTGTGCTGGTATTAAGATGATTTTATTTGGAGTAACTGTACCTGCGTAGCTTCATGAGTTTAGGCCTCAGTGTTCTCCAACCTGTAAAAAGGCTGTCAGCTGCCAGGCTTAGAAAGTGGCCACCAAGTTTAACATTTTTAGACATTTTGTGTCTTCACAACCCAAAATACTATACTCAAACAAATTCGATCACGTTCTCACGATGTAAATTATTTTGGAGTTGAAATATGTTCAATTTTTTTCTAAATCACAAAGCGAAAACTTGCCGTGACATCATATTGATTCATTAATGTTCACTCTGGTGTTGAGTATGAATCGGGCCATAATGCCATGCAAAATAACCCCTTGTCATGTTCTGCTTGTGGGCCTTGGTCTTAAGGAGCTGCAGGTGCCTTCACAATCATTTATTGTAGCAGGGCCATGCAGAAGAAGGCCAGGTACCACTCTCAATCCATGGTGATTTCACATACATAGTTAAGGAGCTGTTGTAAAAGATAACAAAGAGGAACACATCAGATACAATCTCTTATTAGTTTTCAATTTACAGTGTATACTCTTCAAGCTATTCCTTAGTTTCACCCTCTCAATTGCCAATTTTCTTGCAATACAATGCAGAGTTGCAAATGCCCAAAAAAGAATCGAAAAAGGTTTCTTTGTAAAAGAAAAATGGAAAAAAAAAAAATTAAAATTAAAATTTACTGAAATAAAAAAGTTCAATTTGTCAAATAGTGCGTAGAGATTTTATCTTTTAACCTGAATGCAACACTGTCCTGTGGTTTTCTGACACATTGCCCACTGTGTGAATGATAAGTTTTTCAGCCTCTTGCACTCCGTCGGTTTGAAATGCATATTAACGACATTTTTGTTTTAATTTTGATGAAATTGGATTGAAAGATGGGAGTCATAATTCGGCTACTCAATTTGTAAGGCATAACATGGCGGAAGTTTTGTACATTTCACAATGGGAGGCTATCCTGCGTGACGTCACACTTTTGTTGTGTGTGGAAAAAAAGGAAAAATAAGATGTATTTTACATTACAGACTGTAGGAAAGCAGCCTAAACCCCCACCCAATAACCCACTCCCTCCCCCCTCCCCCTCCTCACCCCGATCCCCACTCCACCCCACCCCTAACCCCCTGTTTTTCAACTTTTTCAATATGTCATCCCATTGCCGACACCTAGCACCAAACTTAAAATTTAAAAGTTGGAGAACACTGGGGTCTTGGATTCTGAATTTGCTACTCAGCTTTCAAATCTTTCTGATGGCATGGCAATCCCTGCCTGATGCAACAAGCGTGTGTTCGTTAGTATTTGTACCCTGTACTTTGGATCTGTGGAGAAAACACAGCCAGTATGTGATCAGGCAATGACAATCTTTTCTGTATAAGTTGTATACCTTGTGGTGTGGATGTAAAAGGGTGCAGGCGAGATCATATCAGCTCCATGCTGGATTTAAAACTAGGATAGAAAAGCCTAAAAGGCCTAATAGCATACAACTCAGGAGTTATTGCATCATTTGGATAATTGAGCTTTGGTAGAACAAATATTGTATACATGTATATTTGATGATTAAGATATTTTACAGAAGAATCATAGAAGTAGCAGTGTAGTTGTACATTTATAGTAGTCTTGAAGGAGTACTGCATGTTTCTATTTTTCTCTGTCTGTAGATTTAGTTTTGAGCAAAAAAAAACATTTTTGTCTGAGAAATATTGTCTAAAGTTTAGATACAGGAAAGTGACCCAGAAAATGATACACTTCTCTGTTCGTTTTTCTCTAATGCTGTAAAAGCTTGCCATATTAATATATTTCTTTTTATGTGTCAGATCAATAGTATTACATTCACATTTATGCTTTGGGCCCATTTACACTCATGACTCATACTGTACGGTATTTGTGTGTACATTGAACATTAGGTTTTTGTACAGTTGAAATTCGTCATATTGAAATATCTAGATGGGTATGACCTATTCCTGATGTAAATCACTTTCATTTTGTGTTTTCCTATGTTTTTTATGCCCAAAAATTCATTTTATGTTTTGTGTTTTAGTTGTTAAGAAATAGCATTTTTGGTAAGGTTTGAAGGCCTCTTTTGTTCAATTCTGTTGAATTTTGAAGTCATCAAAGTTTGTATTAATCTAGGCATAAAGGATCTTACATTGTCTTACATGTACATGTACATGTGCATGTATTGTACAATATTTGGTGTGTGAACTAAAGGATTACAAAAAGATACTGTAAAAAATCTTTCTGCCGATTTCCAAACCATATGTTCTTATCTTGGATAATTTGATTTTTTTTTAATGTGAAGATTTCCGTTGTGAGCCAAGTATATTTATGACTTAAGTTCATGAGATTTATATTGGATTGTGTTGACTATTTATTTGTTTGAAGTGCCTTAAGTTTGGGTTGATGAAACAAGGAAGACTTTGAAATATAGTAAGTTATACTGACATAAAAGTTTCCAACTTAAAAGGACCCGTTTATTTTGTTAAACTATTTAGCTCAAACTCGCCTAAATTGTACATATTGTTTGTCATTCTCTCTCATTCTTTTTTTGTACAGCATTAGCTAGCATTAATTTAATCATCTTTAACACTTGCGACTGGTGGCTCAGCATTTGGAAGGTTGCATTAGGGAAACATGATGTTTTCCATAAGTAAATGCCAACATTTCTTTTATTTGATATACATGTATAGTTTGACATAAAATTTGTTTACACACTTGGTGTGATCAATCCATATACAACCATTTATTGGAGGTCTTTCTCCTTTAACAGCACTGGTGAAAATTTTGAGCTAGATGAGCCAGATACAAAGTGATATGTGTAGTGGAAGTGTACATTGCTCTGGTTCAAAAGCTCATACATTTAAGAGTAAGATACCATTTTTATGGCTTGATGCATTTCACAGGGAGATGTTAGTATAATTTTGAATGCCCGATTCCTCAACTGAACTTGAATTACAGCTGGCCTGTCGTAGCATTGAGGTGTTTATTTTTTTGCAGAGTCCTAAATAATTAAGAATCAGCCAGGACTTAATCTCTAGGATATTGTATTGTGGAAGGGGTAATAGGAGTGAGATGTAAATAGTTACTCTGGGTATGCTATTGGGTATACTTGTTGCTGTACTTATGTTTGACTGAGGTGGAGTACTTGATTTCTCAAAGGGCACTTAAGCTTGTGTAAGCTGCGTACAGCCAGGGCGTGGAAAACTTAAGGCACAAAAAGCTGGTGCACACTGGAAAACTATCAGGAAGACTGTGCATTGTACATGTAAAACTATGCCATATAGTGGATACTGTTACTGGATGACTGATATCTGTGGACCATGGGGCTATTGTTTTACACCAGGCTTGGTTTCAACTGTCTTGTGCCCTTAAGAATCTTGCCCTACATTGCATCAGTCATTTGATCTTTTATGTACTCCTGATGTCACCCGCAACATCCCAACACACAAGAAATTACTGCAGGTATTTTAGGGCACTTGCCCTGAGTAATGTGTAATATGGCTATTGTAAACCTCACAATGGTTATGTATGAGTGAGTTACAAGTGCAATGGCTGCCAACCTTTATTTATTATACCCATTTCATCAGTATTTTGTTGTACAAGGAAGTAATCTGATATCTCGGATAAGCACAGGCAAACAATTTCCCATTGGCTATGTACAAAAAACAATATTGAAGTTGGCTACACATGTGGAATACATCCTTGTATGCTTTGTACCTAAACAAGTTATTGGTTAGTTTGGTACCAAGATACTCAGCCTTGCTAGTACTGCAGTTGAGTGATAATTGCACCAGACTCAGGTCCCTGCTCATGTGAATTAGATGTTTAATTACTGTGTGCATACATCCATGCAGCATTAGTAGTTGAAGAAACAAGGCATTTGCAAAGTGAACTGTTGGCTAAAAACTGGTTTCCCCAAGATCTGCTTGTAAAAAAATTGCAATATGTAAGTGTGCACTGTATGAGGTCTAATAAAACAACATTGATATGGTCTCGTTTGGAAAGTAGTACACAATTCTAAGGGGCACACGCATATTAGCATTGCTCCCATCTGAATAAAGCTATGTCACTATTTTGTGTACACATTTTTGTCTGGTTCCATGGGGCAATATATGATGTTTTCTAAAACGACACTAGTTACCAGACTAGGTTGGTGATATGTATGACAGTAACAGTAAAAAAAAAAGCCTCAAGGACAAAACACAATGTTGTGATGTGTCAGTATCTTTGGCAAAAGGGTTGTTTTGAATCGTACAGAACTGTGTGTGTTTGTAGTATAAATGTACATTGTATTAAAGTATGGAGGTCTGTAAATGTGTATCTAACCAGCCGTATGTTGGAAATATGCTTGTATATTTGTTATTTTTCTATGTTTGGGTATTCTGAAATGAAAAACAAATAGTTTTTGTTTGTTGGGGGGGGGGGGCGGGCTTGGGATGTCCAATGGAAAGTTTCTCTCATTGCCCGGCCTGGTAAGCAGTCATGTATGCTGATGTATTTAAATAAGTCTGAAGTGCAAATAAGTACACATGATTTTGCTTCTTGTTGGCGGTGTTTTTATCTGCAGCACATATCGTCAATGGATCATAATTATTCAGCTAGTTCGATGTTTATTCATAAGAAAATTACAGTGACGTCACACCAGTGCTATCACTCAGTCATGCATGTATATTAAAGCATTTCAAAGGACGGCTTTCGTCGAGCTGCCAGAGTGGCCTAGTGGATAATGGAATGAACTATGGATCACAAGATCTGTGGTTCGAACCTATGCCCGTTTTCATCAAATCTTTTTGTTGGTTGGGATAGGTTTAATTGAAGGGAAAACACTACGAGAACCTAAGTGTCTTCCATCCATACAGCGTGATAAATATTCATGTCAGGGTGCGTGATGTGATTGGTTAAATACGATGTATGCTGCAAAAAAAAAAAAATACGCTTCCCGTTCATTGTGCATACAACATGATTTTTAAGTGTCTGTTGATCGACAGAGCAGGTACAAAACATGTTGCATCCAGGTTGTTGATTCAGGTGAGATCACCATCAAGGTGTGTTGTTAAAAAACTAAATCCAAGGGACACAAAACTTGCAGTATGTGATGTACATGTATATATGTATGTGTAGTAAATCAGGTCTGGTTATACAGCAGCCCAGCATTATATTGAAGGTATTAATTGTCACTTTACAGTGACCAATAGGCATCAAAGGTACTTGATGAATTGATTATAGTTTGAGATGTTATACACTAGAAACACCACTGTGCAGGAACTTGTAATGTACCGGTACAGTTAAGAAGTTATGGACATGACTATTTTTTTTTATTTTGTAGGTGAATTTCTCTTTCATTTCGTGCATTTTGGTACAGTACAAAAGGCGCTTAGTGTAACAGCACATGTACATTCAAATTAGGGTGATGTATATATAGCATACTAATTGAAAGTCAGTCATATGGATGAGAATGTGCAGCAGATTGAAGTACTTGCTTCATTCCCCAAACCATCCAGTATCAGTTGAAGTCCTGGAAGTATGTCTTGTGAACAGTCTTCAAACTGATGTTTGAAATTGATCACATGCAACTGATCTGCCCCCATTCCTTCTCAAGTACCAAATGATACTATGGACCAATTAGATGAACACTCTTGTTTTGGTTAATGCAGTATACATCCAAAGAGTGTGCAATTTAGGCATAAATGGTACCCAATAAGAAGTGATCCCTGGAGCAGTGTTTTAAGATGAGGAACCAGACCAAAATGGCTGCAGTAGGTCAGAAAAGAGCACCAGTACTTGCTTTGGGTCTTTGTCAAGAATTGCGTGCGTGGAATCCCAGATTTTCATCTTATTTATTGTTAATGATTAATGTACATGTTGCACTCAGATTTTCTCAAAAATACCATGTATGTACAAAAGTACATGTATGCTGCATCCAATAAGATATATTTTTAAGCGATTTTTTGCCAATTAATGGTGTATTATAAGTGCAAGTTGTTTACAGTACATGTAATATATCAGGTTTTGCCACATGTTCATGCTTGTGTCATTGCTTTGGTTTGCACTTCCACATACGAGTAGGTTTTCATGGAGCGAGGTTTAACACGCCTTATTGTCAGTGTTACATGGTTTTAATTTTTAAAAGTGGGGAGACAGTGAAGCATTTTAAGAGACATTTTTGCTATGTCTTTCATTGTATATCTTGGGATGCTTTTGCAATTAAAAATATTTTTACATCTTAATGCAAGTAGGTCGGAATGACAAAAATGCTCTGCAGAATGTTTATGGGGTTAAGAATTTCCAAGTGATTTTATAAATAGAATGAATTGATCGCCTACGTCTGATAAAATCTCATCAATGGAATGGCTAATGGAAAGAAAAACAGATACAGACAACTTTACCAGGCTATGTTATTTGTGTTTATAAGGGATATTTATAAATGCATTCCTTCGGTGGTTATTTGTGAACTACATGTAACTGATATTTTAATTTGCTTTGTGGGAAATCATGCCAAGTTTGAGGAGTCCTAATGACCTCCATTATTTAAGAATAACTGTTCATTCCCTAAAACCAGCATTTTTTTACTGTACTAAATATGAGCATTTTCCTGTCATTAGTGTGCTAGAAAAATCCCTGAAATTTCAACTATAGTAGTTTAAAATTATTTAGACTATTTCAAGGCAGGTGTACCAATTTAAGGAAATCTTGGGGTTTTTTTTACTTTGCATGTGTCCTCCTGTAGATTGTAAAAAAAAGGAGCAAATATTAATAGTCGCATGGTAATATTATGAAATAAATATAAGCGATGCAAACATTTGTTTCAAAGCCATCATAATTTATTCTTTCTTGAATCATAGGATTACAAATGGATCCCATCAGCTGCCCCGCTTCTCTATTGATCAGTATAATGTGCTTCATCATACTAGTCCCCTATTTTCAAAGTATGTTTCATGTTGAAAACAAAATGAGGGTCACTTTCAATCAAAGGAATTATTTTGCAACCTTTGCTCCCCCCCCAAAAATTTTTTTTTTTAAAATCAAACATAACTTTTTTCCTGTCCAGCAAAATCTGAGCTAGAATTTGAAGGACTTAGTGCATGTGCGTTATTGTTCATACCAGTGTGGTGACCAATTTTCATCGCAGTGTGCCCAAACCTAAGTCATCTTCCCACAAGAATGCACCTTAGCATGTGGCAGCACAGGGGCAATGGTACTTGAGTGTCCTCTATTTCACCATGACAGATGGAGGGGACATGTCCAGTGTCTATCTCCACCTTGCCTACATCGTCTGTTTTCCCAATTGTGTACAATAAAATATGTAAAGAATGTAGTATCCAGAGTATTTCTTAACAAAATTGGAAATGATTCTCAGTCCCAGAATCATTCTTTTCAACATTTTTGCAATGACACCTTCACTGAGATGATAATATGATGGAAAAAGTGGCGACAGGAAGCAACATTCTTTCCTAAAATATTTTTAAAACCCACTGCTATTTTAAGCGACGTACATGACCACAGTATGAAATTTTATAACAAAACAAAAAAGTGTGACAAGTCTGTATCATGATTTCTTCTTGTCTCTTCCATTTAACACACTACTGTGTGCGAGTTCCTCATCAGGCAGATACGTATGCAGAATTTCATATATTGTTTGTGTATAGAAACTACAAAATTCCCCCAAAACCATGATGCGGGCAATTCCAGCATTGTGAAAGGAAGTGTAATGCCCTTGACTGAGCCAATTAAAGCTATAGTCCATCATTTGCAGCCATCCGAAAAGTAACTGGCGTAATTACTGTTGAAAAACAAACTTGGTTGAAAGATAGTAAGGGAACTAAACTCCCTGTGAAATTATTCTTTCTGGGAAGCTGTCATTTTGAAGTAATCAACGAAAGAAGGCATTTCCAACGGTGATTCTTAAGAAGCACCGTAGGAAAATTTAAATTAGTAGTTCGTTTTGTTATTCAGCGCAGCGCGCACAAGTTTTGGAACGACGCACACGCGCGCGCGGTTGTTATAATTCGTCGGATCAGTGCGCAACGCCGCATATAGCTGCAATTACAAAACAATTCAAAACATGATTCAGTAACTTTTGATTTAAAATTGAGATCTTAGAATGCTGTTTTTCTCGGAATGTACAGCTGAAGCTTAGCTGAAACTTCATCAGGTTAGTTGCTCAGTATCCTTTATTAAATGCACTAATTACAAATGATGGACTACAGCTTTAACCATGATATCTAATTAACATGATTAATGACTCAAAGAAATGATCCAAAACTCCTAGTCTGTAATCTCCTTGACCATTACAAGATGATAGACATATATTTGATAAATAATTTGAAAAATAAATTTTCAGGTTTATTCAGAGAGCTTTTAAAAGCTGTCACGGACATTAAAGATAATGCTGGAATTGCCTATTTGCATAACAATGTGTCAATCATACATTGGAATATCAGCCAAGGATATCTGTGCTTTGGCAGAATGCCAGCATTACACACAAACAGCTTCAATGTAGCACAGAACTAACACAAGAACAAGTGCAACAGTGGATGCAATATAAAACAGCAACATGGTTTTTACTATGTTAGATTCTCACTGTAGCAATTGTAATGCACTATTGCAAATCAGGCAATTGTTCGACAATGACAAGTACCAGTCATTTTGACTTCATCGGCTCTCCTAATACTTTATTGCTTCAACAATACCTTGTTTCTTCCAAATTGAACTGAATACAAGAGTACTTTAATACAAACAAAATATGATGAATTTAAATTACTACTTCTCTGGTTCAAGATTTCAATAAGCCACAAACATATTAACTTTGCTTGCATTGGGTCTATTTCACCATAATATATTGTCATGGACGACAGATCATTTGAGTTTGGGAATGATATTACAAACACCATACATGTTCAATGCACTTTATACATGATTTACAGTTGTACAGATAAGCACTGTATACCCAGTACTGTCTGAGAAATTACAAGATCCACTTCTACATCAGAATAAACAACCAGTTTACCCCAGCTAGCTGTAAGGTAGTATCGAAAACGAAGACCCCTAAAACAAAGACCAAAGACCCACTCGAAAACAGTGGGTTTTCGAGTGGGTATTCATTTTAGGACCCACTCAAAAACGAAGACCCACTGTTTTCGAGTGGGTCTTCGGTCTTCGTTTTAGTGGTCTTTGTTTTCAATACTACCTGAGCTGTAAGCAGGTGATCATGGCTTTGCTTCCCACCAGAGCAAGCATGTGGATTTGTCGTGCAAGCTCAGGGAGAGCAGCACATAAAGACTAATTTGGCAAACAAAATTAGAAGCCACTTTTTAGTGGAAACACCTCCGCGCACACTTGCATTTGTTAACCCTATTGGTCAAAGGAGCCTGAAGTGCATGCGTATTATCTGAGCATGAGCCTGGGCCCAATTTCATAGCACTGCTTAACAGTAAGCAGAAAAGTTGTGCTTACTATAACAGAAAATCATGCTGCTGCTTAAGCACTATTTCATGCTAACAGTTGCGCACGCATGGAGATTTCTATTGTTACATCACTGATTTAAGCAAAGTTTTCTTCTGGGGTTAAGCGTGCTTTTGCTGTAGGTGAAGGGAAAACAACGTGAAGATGAAACCATGATTAGCGGGTTTAAAATAAAGTGCCTTTTTTTCACATTTTTGAATTTTTTGTAGGCGAAAACTTTTTTTAGCGATTGGCTGCTTATTTTAACAGCCCGTGGAATGCGTATACACTGTAGTGATACCTATTGTCCGACAATGGCCATGAATTCGGTGTTTTGAACAGCGCCCCCATCGAGAGATGGTGTCCAGTCCAGCCCCCCCCCCCCCTCCAATTTGATTTTACGGTGGCCAGGTGTCGGGTAAAAAAAAACCTGTGTACCTTTGAGCACGGATGAAATTGGGACCGCTCCACTGTAACATCTCGGCCCTCTAGAATGAAAACCCTGGCTGCGCCGCTGGTAGGCATCACAGCTCCATTACCTTTCTTACACAGAGGCTATGACTGAGTAATGCTCCCCAAATTGAGCAAATAGTTCCCCTACTTCTGGCATTAGTTAAGATAAATTGACATATCGCGGTAGAATTGCATCACACAGCTTGTGAAATATTGTCCAATTACATGATATACGCATGGACGCAGAACGTGCAACATCAGAAACAAACAAAACTTTACGTGCAAAAATGCCATAGGGTTGTCTAAGGGGCGTGGCTAACTCATAGGCGATAGGTCAGTTGCCACAAGATTTGAATTAAAATGCAACTTATAATGCAATGAAGTCTTGGGATATCGTCCTACCTTAATTTTCCCAGATTTTCTGCATCATTTACATTTTAATTTTGAACCCTTAATGCAGGCATGAGCTCATCAAAGAGATCAAAGCATTGTCAACCATTCTAACCTTAAATCATTAAAAAACGTAATTTTCTTTGTACATATATAATTCTTCTTGTGGCACACAATCATAAAAAAAATTCTAGTTACTCTGAATCCATCTGATCTTCTATAAAACTAATTCCTTGTCACCAAGATGACGGAAGTGATCATCTAAGATGTCCTCTGTCACGCCTTCTACTGTGTTTGGATTCCACTGGGGATTGTTGTCCCTTTCCACTAACACAGAACGGACTCCTTCATAGAAATCATTGCCTCTCTGCAAGACAGAATGAAAGGGACAAATGAACTGAATAAAAATTCATACAGAAAATTGATTAGTTATGATAAATACCAGCCACTCCGACTCACTCCAAGTATTTAAATATGTAGGTACTGTACTCTGAGTTACATGTGCAAGGACGGATCCAGAGAGGTTACTGCCAGGGGGAGGGGGGGGGGGCGGAAAGGCTCTCTCTAGCAAACAATGGCCTTATTTGAGAAAGTTTCGCTCACTGCCGGGGGAGCGGGTGCCCCCTCTGCAACCCCCTGGATCCGCCACTGATGGGGGTTCTAAACTCACTCACAATTTTCCTTCTGAACAAATTTATGTTACTTTAAGTGTATTTATTTTAATAAATAGTAAGGACTGACAAACCTATGCGTGCCCTGTACCAGCTGGGATTTGAAACAAGGTCACTAGAGATGAAAGGCAAGGACAGTACCACCATGTTAAGCTTGTTGCATAATTTATAAGGGGCCTGGTCTCTAATAATGGCCCGAGCCGAAAGAATTGTCAAATTGTTCCACGTATTTGTGAAAGTTGGTTTACAATGTTTGAATATTTTATTTATTAATAGTTCGGTTTGTACTTCACTACTTTAGCCTACAGTGAAAAGTGATGCGTAATTCGCTTTCACAAAATCCCTACACTATGAAGTGGCACCAGACCTTTCTTGTAAAAATATGTGGTCTAAAACTCTGCAGATGTTGAGTTCAGTGTTAAGTTGTCTCTGCCTTCATGAATAGTTGATACTGTTCCTGGCCAGATTTGTTTTTATTTGACTTTCGTTTTCTTCTTAACCAGTTCACGATGTATGACGTGTATACATGCAAAGGTTTTGTGGTAATTGGAATGGACGACGGATAAACACGCAACAAGCGAGGCTGAAAATATCTGTCAGCGACCCACTTGCAGCAAGCAAGGCCGGAAATATCAGGGTGTGCTACCCGCAGATGACAGCCTGAACCTGTCTGGCATCGAGGTTCGTGAGAAACAATCCCGCGCCTGAGTCTGGTCGATGTCAAAATAATCCCGGCGCAAACTGGTTAATAACTAAAGCCAAACAGGATAATTCAAGATGTTTTATTCTTATTCCCCTTTTTTGGTGGTCAGTTTTTGGCTAATTGTGAGTTACATGTTTACGCTGTGGGATATATTAATGTTAACATTCAAAAGAAATCATAATTAACAAGGAAGCATTACTTACCACGCAGCCATGTGCAATGCGTAATTCCATGGGTAGGACTTCTTGTAGGCTCATATTGGCTCCTAGTGTCAGCTGACGATGGGTGATTTTCATGGAAGTTGGAGACATCTTCTTCAAAATCTACTCACAAAGTTAACAGAAATTCACAACTAAAGCATTTCACATGTTGCATATGGGTCATTCTATAAATTCGGGCTTCACTTTTTTCCTGTCCGTGTTACATCTGACATCTATGATTCTATCATTCTGATGCACTCCTTTATGCAGTCATCTTCCAAGAGTGATTATGAATAGCAAACTACCTACCCACCAAATTAAAAATCATTTGAAGTCATTCTTAATGATACTTGAATAGCAAATTACAAAGTACCAAGGTAACAGGGTCAGGAAAATGTCACACATTGGACCCTAAATTGATAGAATGACCCATTTGAGTTTGTCACTCATATATCTGTACATTCCTGAAGGCACAAGTACATTTGTACATGTATAATAAACAGGAGAGTATGGATTTCATGCAGAAACTGAACAGCTGCTGTATAACTATTTAAAGCTTGTACATGTAACTGTTTGAAACATGTAAACGGCATTGAGTATGCTCAACTGATTTTCAGCTGAATTTTCAAAAACCAATTGCACCATTTTTTTTTAAAGAGTATTTAACATGATTTTAGATGCACGGTTGGAATGGCTCCAAAGTGTTCCAATAATGTTTTGCCTTTTGGTGTAGGTGTAGTCATGCATTATGTATATGTACATGCTCACACTTGAAGTAAATTCTTGAGCTAGTAGTCAAGCCACAAGCTGAGCTGTTCAATTGAGTTGAGTTTTCACTGTTTAGGACGTCCCTTTTTACTTCTATCGTTCTCCTGTTTTTGGGCCTCTTAAGTAGGGTCGGTCCGTCAGCAAACAATCAAAATCTTAAGATAATAAGAAACTGCAGTTACACCCGTATAGATGGCTAATAAGTGCATACTTTTTCTTGTTTTGTTTATTGCAATGAGATTATCATGAGTTGATATCACTGAACACAATAATAAAGCTATCTTTGGCAAGATGTAGTTGACTGACATTATCATGCCACTCACTAACGTTTTGGCGGTAGTGGCAGCCATGAATGAAAGTTAAGATATAGACCCCCAAGGCAACACCCTAACATCTTCTGAGATTGCATTGGTTGCTGTACGCTGTGCTTCAAGTAAAATCCGATATTATTTTCCATAGCTTTTCGAATAACACACAGCCTGAATTTGATATTCATTTTTTTTTCATTAACTTCTTTTTTTTGTTAGTGATGGTTCAAAACAGGGTCTGCGTATTAATCAAGTTTTTTTCTTGGGTTGGGAGCCCAAAATAGAGTCGTTCAGAATAAAAAAAAGGGATACCCTTACTCCCTTTTACTTGTGTTTTTTTTTTTTTATTTTTTTAATTTTTTTTTACTTGTGACGGACATAACTACAACTCTACAACTGTGAAAGGAATTTGATATCCTGGGATATCACAAGTAAGCATACAATGAAGAACAGAGATGAAACTGGCATATGGCCAAAAAATCGGAAAATATGCCGAAGAAAAATACGTGTCCGAAATCTGGGCCGCGCTGCATTACACACATATTTACATGCATGTACTACACTTCATGCCCAATTTCCGGACACCTACTCCTGCTTTATTTTCGATTCAAACAAAATTTTACGATGAAAAAAATGGTCAGTGTTTTCATTGCATAAAATGCCCGAATTACGGTTAGAGTAATATAGTCATCAATAAAGAAGTTCACTTCTTACTTGAGAAAGTCTAGGGAAAAGTCCGAAAGACAAGGCACCGTTCATGGTGCTTCAATCATGTCCATTCAACCACACAACTCCACTACTCCACTTGCATTCATACGTGGGGAAAAATCAGGTGTTATCGTCTTTCTCTTCTAACAAATGCCAGTGAAATGTTTCGCTAATGCTCTCTTCGCTATCCTCGAGATAATCATCACGATTTTTAAGGCATTGTATTTTGTTTAACTAAATTTGAAACCTCCGAAAATCGCACAACATAATGATTTTATCCACTGGATCGTTCACAAGGCTACCCGTTCCTGACCGGCCATGTGCTAGCAGACGGTACGGTGCGCTACTCACGCTGGTATCATTGCGTACAGTACATGCACGCACGTGCGACACAGTGAAATTTCGTTGGAAAATTCAAAAAGTCGGTTTTCCGATTAAAATCGGAAAAGTTTCATCTCTGGAAGAAAGATCAGCTGAAGAATACTCACCTCCAATTGCTTGATTGCCCACTCTGAGCCATCGGTCTCAAGGGCCTGCAAGATTTCCTCCACAGAACTACCACTAAACAGTCTATTGATGTTGTCCATGTGTGACTCCAAGGAAAAGGGCTTGTCTGCGCCTAACTGACTCTGAAAGAGAAGATGTCTTTACGTCATAAGCAACAGAATACACCAAGAATCAAACTCCGTTGGTATAAGCATGTATTACTGTACCATGATTTGGGTAAAACTTCCCATAGAGCTTGAAACATTGATTGAACACCGTTTTCTATGGATAGCCATCACTTTTCATAAATTCAATGGGGAATGGCAACGTTTTTGCCTAAATTCACTAACTTTAGCACTTTTATACATTATAACGTGATTTAATCAATTCATTGTATGTTATCAAACTCTGTTTGATTGTGGTCCATCATCCTCTTTCTAAGATTGATAGATGTGATACAGCAGGAGACAAGCCAATAGCCGGTTTGACATCTGTTTACAAAATATTATGTGGTAACATGCGGCCAACTTTTTTTTTGGAGAAATGGTTACTCTGAGTTTGCTATGGGTCTTTTGTCTACAATGTGAGGTCACGAAATTCTCCTTTTCTGCCTAGTCTTGATCCCCATGAATTCTACAGCCCTTGAACACAAATGTTTCCCCAAGTAGCGCCCTTTAGCCAATTTCACAACACTCATCTTATCATATGACGCATCTGAGAACTTACAAGGTTTGTCCTGCTCCGAGCTAGATTTTAAGTATAAAGTGTCCTAATAGACCTGCTTTCACTGAAGGCATCTTAAAATTCAGTGAGAGGCTTAAAAAATGGTTCAAAAATTGGCATTGAATGGAAGAAGATACAAGTGCCTGTTTGATAGCCTTGTCATGCTAGTGATTTTGAAATATAAGACCCCCCTCAGTTTCATATCTATATGTTGCTGTTCAGAAAGAACATGAAGAATAAATCTGTTGGACCAACACAAGAATTTTACAACCCTGCAGAATTTGTTTTGGCTTTTTCTCAACTTTTGCGAAAAAGCCTTTCTTTTTGTTCTGATTTTTTTTCTTTCTTCCTCTTCCTCTTCTTCCACTTCTTTTTTGCACAAAATCCCATAGACTTTGTACACGTTTTTTCTACACGCCACTTTCGGCCTGAAAACGATTCCGAAGTCCTTCAAACCTGGCACATACTTAGAACATCACCTGCAGATGTATGCCGAATCATTACGTCATGCTGACGTCATCACGTGATTTATTATAGAATTTTGAATATTTAATTTTTCCCATAGACTTTGTACACAGAAATTTTAAAAAAATTGTCGATTTTCAAAGGGCATTTTCGACTCTTTGCCAGTAATTCATTTACACCACTCTTTGTCCAAGCAAAGACCCTAATTCAAACAACATTGCGTAATGATGACGTCATGATGACGTCATCCTGTGTTTATTTATAGGCAATTAAATTGTGACACTTTTAATATTTAAAAATGCATAAGAAATCAACCGTACGCGTCCGCAGCATTCTGTTGCCGGCAAGTGATAGAGTAGGTTGAGGTCTTTATTTCATTCAGTGTGCGTGCAATCACGTGACACTTGCTTCCGGTCGAAAAAGGCCAAAACCGAAAGTGGCTTATTATTTGAAAGTGGTAATAGATATGAACTTGCTTACAACGGTGTTAGTCTCTTGGCTGATAGTATTCTTCAAATCATCTACCGATGATGTCATGCAATCTTCGAGCTCCCTCTAGCAACAGGTTGAAAATGTTCAAAAATGTATTTTGAATAGATGTCTGTGGCGACGTTTGTCGGAATCGCCTAAATATTGGTGTATATGATGACCTTGACCCACTTAAGACGTGTGCGAAATTTTAGGCGTGTGACGTCATCAGACCGGAAGTTCCGTTGAAAAGACCTTTCCTTTTTCAAAGATTGCTAACAAATCAATCCGTACAGATATAATCTTGAATTGCCCATTAAATGATAGCGTAAACATTTGCCTTAACAGTGCCAAGTTCCCAGCTTGTCAAATTGTTCACACAGTTGACGCGCCATCGGCAAAAAATACCCTTACGCAAGTTGAGGCAGAGAGAGAGTAAAAAAAGCTGACTCATCCAAAGCAAGCATAAACCGCAAGTGTGTGCGTGTATACATTGACCAGATTCGGTATCGCCTGCTTCCCATACACCACACACGCACGTGGTCGTGAAGGCGCGGACTGACAAAGCGCCACATTGTCAACTCATGAATATTAATTTCCCTTGTTGAACAACTCACCAATAAGATAGAGGTGCTGCAAGACGTTTTCATTCTTTCATTGGAAGTTTTTAGTACCGCAAATAGTTGCAGTACGTATATGTTCATACAATAACAAGCACTTCGCGTTCTTCATAGGGCCGGCCCTATGCTCGCTACACTCACGTGGTTTCAGAAAGTGAAAAGCCCTGTGTTCTGTTTCGACAGACATACAGTTCTAGTTTCTTCTTGTGTTTGTTAAAAGAAGCAAGCAAGCTTTTTATTCGTAAAAAAAAAACTGCTTGAAACCCTGTTTCTAAGCATACCTCACTCTGGTATCTATCTAGCAGCTGTACAATGTCAGACTGGCTGGGACTTGGTAATGCAAGTAATCTATCCTCCAATTCTGTTATCTGCAGGAGAGAGAAACAGAATGAATGTAATTATATGAAAGGCATATACTGACAAACAACAGGGAGAATATGTGGTCAACTAAAGATACAGTGGACTGTGGTCGTTGGTGAATTTGTTTTCGTTTGAAGCAAAAAAAAGTGCTCAAAATCTAAAGACAGGTACTTAATGAAGCGTTATACATGTACATGTATATTTTGAGAAAAGACAATATTCGGGATCTCGATTTTGATTCAAAAGTTGCTGAGTCATGACACAATCTTAAAATGAGCATTCAGGACATGATTCTCATTCAGCCGATTGTTGCTACGTGATGTCACATACTGAACTGACGATTCTCGCTGCTAATGGCAACAGCGCACACATGTGCGTTGTTTCAACGCACTTACACCCATTCACGGATTCGCCCAGTTCCAAACCAACTGCCAACGGAAATTTCCAAAAATGTGTCACTTGATGCATTTTTGGGAACAACCTTGTATTATTGTTTTCTTCAAAATGACAGCATGCCAGAAGGAATCATTTCACAGGGAGTTTAGTGTTATTTCTATCTTTAAACCGAGTAAGATTTTTAACAATAATTTCATCAGTTACTTTTTGGACAGATGCAATGGTCTACTCTACCCTAACCAAACCCAACCCATCAAAGTTCAACAGCAGGTTTTGTTTAAATCTGTTGGGATAGGTACAGTACCCCTAAACAGATGGTCTCTTACATTGGGTTTGGCATACCTCCAGAAACCAAGTCCAATAGTGTGTGTGTACAATTTCCCATGTGGGTGTTGGAATTTGCCTGAATGGGTACGGTTCCTAGTAAATTATGCTGGGGAGTTAGGGTTAAAGAATCGATGGCTCTGTACACAAGCAATCCAACATAACAATTACTTTAACCCTAACAGAACTCAACCCATCAAAGCCCAACAGCAGGTGTTGTTGAAATCTGTTAGAATGGGTACAGAACCCCTAAACTGATGGTCTTTTACATTGGGTTTGGCATACCTCCAGAAACTCAGTCCAACAGTGTGTGTGTACGATTTCCCGTGTGGGTGTTGGAATTTGCGAGGTTGGGTACAGTTCCTAGTAAATTATGCTAGGGAGTTAGGGATAAGTTTAGTTACATAAGCATGACAAGTAAGTTTAGTTACACAAGCATGACAAGTACATTGTAACATCTTCAATAAAGCTTAGCTTCCGAATTTCCACAATTTGTAACCATAAGACATCACTGCCGATTTCCCACTTACATTTGTCTTTAGTAGCTATTCATTTTTCTGTTCTGGAATGTCCAAATCTGAATGTTCTTACATGTGCAATCTTGTTCTGTTTTAACATCAGTGTTGTTTTTATGTAGGGCCAAAATGATCAGCTTTGACTGGATTGTAGATATATTGGAAATTTTTGTTACTACTGATTTATGTTTTGTCTTTGTTTTCACCGCAGAAAAAAACCTGCTTATTGTGGCTCCATATTAGAATGGTACTTTTCTGATTTGATCTGACGGTGCAAAATATACCAAAATATTGACAAGAAGTACGTAATTTACAATGTATCTCCATTTCTGTGCAGGCAATACAATCAACAATTTTTGATCCTATTAACTTCAATGCAGCTAAAGTACATTATGCATTACAACTGCTGATTATGAAACAAATCTGTGTACTTTTGGATTATATCCATAATTTATATTGACACAATAACTTTAAGCCACAGTTCACTGTTTGAAATAGCTGATTGAAGTGAACTAACTGTCCAACAGGCAGTTGCAAAGGGTTTTTCCTGCATAGAACATAGACTAGCTTTATATTTGACTGTAAAGAAATGAAAGGGAAATTGCAAAAGCTGTTACAATGTACTACAATATACATGTATAAAGACTTTTTGCTCAGCATGTAGCTCTCATGTGCGGCGAGCTTTACTGAAATGATTGAAATGGCTTTGGGGACAGTGACTGTATGGATTTGAGTGAGCACAATATCATTGATATCCAACCCAAACTCACCCTGTTTGATTCCACAAAGTGTGTAGCTACCCCAGCCAACTGGACCTCTCGTCCTTTCAGTCGGTACCCCGTCAAGGCAAGGAACAGCCCCAGCTTGCCTCGTAGTCTGGGTAAGAAGTACCCACCTCCAACGTCAGGGAACAGACCGATAGCCGTCTCAGGCATGGCAAAGAGAGTCTTCTCTGTGGCTACTCTGAAGAGGCCGTGGACAGACAGTCCCACACCCTGTGACAAATTAAGATCATTTTGATAATGAATGGGAAGATTACAACTTACAAGACAAAAAGGCTGATATCACATTCTATCATGTGTGTTTCTAAATCCCTGGAAAGAGAGCTGACATAATTTTTTTTTCAATTTTACAGCTTTCCAACCTTAAGACTGAAACCAGATTATTTACATACTGTACTTTACTTGAATGAAAAATAAAACAGCACCCCATTTCCTGTGCAATCGAAGTGTTTAATCCTGTAGCCACATTAGGATCTTCGCGAGAGGATATATTTGAAAAGGATGCATGTTGAATGCAGTGAACAGCAAGCTGACTGATGAATTTTAAAAAAAAATACAAGACAAACAACCAACGTCCACATTTGATCAGTATTAAACATTTAGATTGGCTCTAATGCCAATTTCACTGCCTTTAAGCATGAACCTACATGTACATGTAAAAAGGTCAGGTATGCTCTAATTCTCCTGTTTTGATCCAGTTGCCAAGTACAAAATAGTGCCCTATTTGTAAATGCATTGAAATGTCTAAAAAGGGTGTTTTTAATTTTCCTAAACAGCTACGTATAATAAGAGATCCTCAATGCACTGTGATACATAGAAACAACTGAATTCCCAGTATGAAAGGCAAGGAGGGGACACATGTATTTAAAAAGTGAAATTTTAAAAAATCTTCAGAACTTGACATTTAAGGTTATTTAGTTTCTTATAATAGACTTTTAATTTGTACCAAATATGGACGGAAATACTGTAACATGAGTTACCAAAATATATCTCTCTTAGAGATTTTGTGATTGACTACTTTAAACCAAATGTTACAGTAGAATATGAATTACACCCTAATGATGTAAGGGCACTAAAGCAATTTTGACATGTTCTTTTTTTGCAACGTGAGTTACACTGATAAAAAACTTATTAGCAAACCAACAGAAATTCATTTTGTTAGCCTCTTTTTTGTAGTTTAGTCACTTAATATCATGGGATCTTCTGTGAGAAAAATCCACCATAGATGCTTATAGAATAACAGTGCATAGTTGATGGAAAACCCCATCTAAACGTAATATGAGTTACCATGGAATTGCCCATATAATTCTCTAAATCATTAGAGATAAGCACTGAAAAGTGTAATTACCCTGGTGAACTTGTCATCATATCTCTGTAGTGCATGTAGTGTGGAGATTGTAATAATGTTGTTTCTGATACATGAGTAAAGCATACAAAAAAGCATGACTGATTTAAACCAAACAAGAATACAGTGGCTAACATTCAGTCTTGTACTTGAATTGCTAAGCCTACAGTACTCACTCCGCCCATAGTGATCCCATCAATGAGTGCCACATACGGTATTGGCAGGGTGGCGATGGTATTGTTAAGGATGTACTCCTCCCTAAAGAAACTCACTGCCATGGGATCACCAAGCTTGCCAAGTTCCGTTACAGCTGCAGGGGGGGGGGGGGGGGGGATATACAAAAAAATATAACACTTAGCTACACGTATGTCAAAACTTCACATGTTCATTTGCAACCTACGGAAATGGACTGTTACAAATAGTGGTGTGCATTTATGGGTGGTACGGGAACCAAATACCCTACTGGAGTAAAAGGGCCATTCTCCGCTAAAGTGTTCAAATGTGCCATTTTTGTGTCGCTTGTGTTTTAAGAAGTATGGAGTGTGTTCGATAATGATTTATATTAATTTTCTTCGAGAGTAAGTTTTTTTTCCATAAACCCATGTACATGTACATGTAGTAAGAAGGTAACAAAAATCAAGACAAATCTTAGAAATTGTGACGGTAAGGTGGTATTTGTTGCGGTTTTCTCACGTCGCCATCCAAGGTGCCTTTTTTTAACAGTCTCCCATTCGTCTTTCATGTGTGCATATCAATGATTACCCTTTTATATTATTAGTCCATAGTATGCCCTAAATATACAATGACAAATCGAAAAAGATTTGGCTCATTAATTTTACTTGAGCGCCTTCAGAGCGCATGTCGCCAATTTCATAACCAGATACGTTACTATTTTTCGAAACGATAAACAGACTTAAAATTTCAGGAATATGCACGTTGAAGTTGCTCACAGACTAGACCAAACTGGGTACATGTATTATATTGTACATATGGCATGAATCTAATAAGTTTTGAATTTGAATTTTTTTAGAACTGTCAACGAAAAAAATCCATGTGTAACGTATGTGTAGCGCCAGATACGTTACCTATTTTTGCCTTTCCTTTCGAGACACGCGAAGGAAGCTGACCTCAAACACCATACCAGTCAACAGTGTGTTGGGTGATGACTGATCAAGTGGCGGAAGCAGTAGTTAAGGTCACACAGTTTGTCAAAGGAAGCCTATTTCAACATGAGGGGGCCAGATACGTTACACCAGATACGTTACTGATTATGAATTCATCATGCAAATGTTATGCTGACGTCAACAAACATGGGCTACGTCATCGATTCCCACACTGTCTACACATTTTAAAGTTTCTTAACACATTTAATTGTGATTCATAGAGCGCATGCTTGCCGAGAAGGATTGTAATGTTGTGCTGAATTTCTGTCGAATATTCTTGAAGTTTAGAGTAGCATCATACAATGTTTTTTTAATGGTAAAATATGTAACTTGTAGAATCTGTAGATAAAGATTTTTGGAAGTGAGATGTTGTAATTGCACAAAAACTTTATAACATGAAACCATCGTTGTTGGTTTACATAGAATATCTTAGTTTATTATGGTAACATATCTGATCAGCCTGGTAACGTATCTGATCAGCTCGGTAACTTATCTGTTCAAATATCAATCTTTAATTTGCGAGCGTACAATGTAGCTATAAAGATGATACAATTAAATGTATTGTTCAGACATTATCTCTAAGCAACAGGGTTCGGGTGGTAGTGTAGGTGGGTTGGTTGGGGGTGAACTTAGGGGTGGGAGGTGGGGCAGCTCAATACACTTGGGAAAAGGAAATTCTGACCTCCATCCTGTGTGCCTGAATTCAATTTTAAATCATTTGGTCATAGTTGATCAGGATTGTTTGCCAGGGGGTGCACTAGTTGCATTTTAGTAAAGTCATTAACCGTGATATGCATGCGCAAAACATATCATGCGAACAAAACGTCACGTGATTATTCCGTATAATTTATATTTCCCTGCTCTGACCCCCCAAAAATGAAATTAAAAAAAAAAAAAAAATTATAACCTTATTAATAGAACAAGATGATATTCTAAAACGCAGGCGCGGATCCAAACCCACAGTCTCGATCCCCCCGTCATGCTCTGACCCCCCCCTAAAAAAATTCGCAACATTGGGATACAAAAAAAATATCTGAAAGGCCAACCCCCCTGCAAAAATTCCTGGATCCGCCCTGCATTGTGGTCCTTGAATGATATACTTAAGTAATTTCCTTTTTTTTTTAACGATTAATGATGTTTTTTTGTTGACAAACAGAATCAACGAAACCTTTTGTTTCAGTCTGTCTGTCACAATGTGTACCAATGAAATTCACATCTACTTAAAATATCTACAGAATCTTATTTAAAGACATGAATTTATTGAAGTGGACTCGCGGTAACGTATCTGTTAGATCGTTACACAACGTTTAGAAGACTTAACTTCAAGTAGTTATTTTCCCCCAAAATAAAAACATTTGTTAAAAATCGCCTTTGTTTTATTCCATGTGTTCATAAAATGCACATTATAACATAGAGTGATGAAATAGGGATCATTTCTGCTGTGTGAAACAAGCAAACTCGACTTTTATTGATTGCTTTTTAATTGTCGGGTTCTGACTTTGTTCGTTTACAGGTTGTACCCATTTTTATATTTTGACAACAACTTTGGTGTATGAAGCGTGTGGCGTTTTCAATAACATCATTATAATATGATTGGTTACAGCAGCTGTTATAAAGTTTTGTGTAAGTGCTGCTTACTGCGTCATCCCGTATATGGTGTTTTAATTATAAATCTGATTTGCCAGATGTTACCAAAGCAGCCTGGCATTGTGGATCTCACTATCTCAATCTCATGGGAAATATTTGTATAATTACCTGTTCATCCAAATGATAATGACTAATTATTAGTTTATGGCAAATAAATGCGAAATTGCAACATGCAAAGTGATAGATGTAGCAACTGAAATTATGTGCATAGCAAATCGAGACAGACAATTTATGTGCCTTGTTTTCACAATCTAGAAAAAACACGATGTTTTCCAATGTACCTGTCAAATACTGTCACACAAATACCTCTATTTTTAGTCTGTCTTTCACAATGTGTAGCTCCGAAATTCATATTGACTTAAGCCTCCCCAGTTTTTGTTTCAAAGGACAACTTTTCTATGAATAAAATAGTGGTAACGTATCTGTTAGGTTGTTAAAACACGTTTTAGAAGGTTAAATTTCAAGTATTTATGTCAAAGAATAAAAATCAGTACTGTTTTGTTCCATGTTCTGGAGCTATTAAACTTTACGATTTTGAGCAGATTTCATATATTCATTGTAGTTGATATTTTGTAAAGTCCTAGTTCCAACTTGAACACTTTAACGAAGAATGAGCCAAAATACGGGTACCCGGATAGTCGGATACCCATAAAAGAAACCCCACCCCAAAGGGCTTGATAGCTTCACAGTGTAAACTGCAACTTTCACCAGCATCGTCTGTCACGCGTTAAAATGCACAGGAATGTGAAATCTGCTTTGGTCTGCCATGTAGCCTGGTTTTCATTTTGAAATTCCCAACAAATGGCATTCAAAACCTTTCTTTTCATTGTTTGAGAAGTTACTAAGTAATTTGTAAAGTTGGTTACAGGTAGCCAATCCCATAATCTGGAACCGGTTCTTGACATCGGCCATCGGGTACTCGGTTCCGATGCACACCCCTAGTTACAAAACAGTGTGGTTTCAGTCTTCTTGCATCTAGCCCCATGATTAAGTGGTCGTTGCATGTATCACAACCACACCAGTGAACTCAATGGAACATGGTGCCTCTCAGATAAACATGTATGCCCGATTGCATTGATATGGATATAACACTCTTCAGCCTTTTTGGTAATGGGCAGTAATGTAGTCACAATAGCAACCGCCACCTGACAATAAATAAACAAGAAGTCCCTATGGTCTAGGTGTTTCTAGTGCATGCATCAACCGGCTGCCTACCTTTGATATCCCCTCCTGCACAGAAAGCCTTATCCCCAGCTCCTTTGATGATCACCATACTGATCTTGGGATCAGCTGCCCATTCCTTAAGGAAAAAATGAATCTAACATTAATCACTTGAGGTGAGTTTCCGTGGAGACGTCTCTAAAGTCCAAAGTCCAATTGGTCCGAAGTCCCATTGGTCCGAAGTCCCATTGGTCCGAAGTCCCATTGGTCCGAAGTCCCATTGGTCCGAAGTCCCATTGGTCCGACGGCCCATTGCTCTATACGTTCCATTTATATAAACGTCCCATTGGTCCGACGTCCCATTGGTCCGAAGTACCATTGGTCCGAAGTCCCATTGGTCCGAAGTCCCATTCGTCCGAAGTCCCATTCGTCCGAAGTCCCATTCGTCCGAAGTCCCATTCGTCCGAAGTCCCATTCGTCCAAAGTCCCATTCGTCCAAAGTCCCATTGCTCTATACGTTCCATTGGCCCCATAGGATTAGGGTTAGGGTTAGGGTCAGTCAACCTGAACCAGTGGAACTACACAGTATTATGTTTCGTCGGACCAATGGGACTTTGGACCAATGGGACTTTGGACCAATGGGACTTTGGACCAATGGGACTTTGGACCAATGGGACTTTGGACCAATGGGACTTTGGACCAATGAGACTTTGGACCAATGGGACTTTGGACCAATGGGACTTTGGACCAATGGGACTTTGGACCAATGGGACTTTGGACCAATGGGACTTTGGACTTTGGGATTTTCCTCCCGACTTTAAAACTATAATTTTTTCTCACTGTCTCCTCTTTACACTCTACAGAATTTTTTCAGGCTTTTGAGCTAGGGGGTACAGTGCTTTCGAATCCTTGGTTTCATTACCAGAAAGAAATAAAATAATAAAATATAATTTGACTACAACATCAAAGGTTTTTCTTATATACTGTTAACTTTTTCTCTCATTGAACAGTTCATGTGGCAAGATAGATAATAATAATAATAAGATAAAACAATAAAGTTTATGAAAAGTGAATGATCAGATATTTTCCACTGGTCTCCAATGGCAGATGTAACACCATCGATTGCTGTCTTGGCTTGCTGGCTCTATCCGAAGTGAAGTCACTTTGTATGGATTGTTATACTGGAGTTTGGCCATAATACATGATTTGCTCACTCAAATAGTGTGTCATCCACACCAATCTCAATGTTAACGTATTCAAAATATGACATCAAGAACAACTTAGAAAACTGTCCAAACATATAAAAACAATGAAGCTTGATAACTGTGCCATCCCTTTTGTTTCATGACACTTAGACAACATATGTTAACTTTTTGAAGCAGGAATCTCCTTTCCTGAACTACATCGCACCTTCAGTTTGGGAGTTATCTTCCTGACCATGGATAAGTTCAATGCGTTGAGGGCTTTGGGTCGATTCAGTGTGACCAGACATTTTGTGTCCACGTTGTCAAACAGGACGTCTTCATCTGTGGACGCGGATGTTGACATCGCTGCACATGAAGGACGTAAATGCCTCACTATGACAGATGCGCGTCCCAGTGAAGATCTGTGGAAAGGAAAAGACTCAAACTCAACGACTGCTTGTAACAGGGTCGGCTAAACAGATTATTAAATAATAAAACACAACAATGCAATCAAAATGTTTAATTGTCAAAATCATTGCAACTGTATTTAAAATTTAACCCAGACTAGGAACCATAGTGCTGAAATAACATGCAAGACAAATCCAACTTTACTCATACTTTGGAAACAAAAGCTGTAACGTTTGGCACTTGCATACGGGGACGGTTTTGTGCATCATCGACTCGAATATATGTGTACGTCGATGTCAAGGCCATCAAATAATAATGAAAACGATATACAGCGCCGGGTGCGGACAGACAAAACACAACTGTCTAGTGTCTTGTCCTCAAGTCTAGGTTTTGCGCGGTGCTGGATGCATTTTGGATGGAATGACCGTCACGTCATGTCAATGTGAACGTTGCAAAAATGTGTACGTCCTGCAAAATGAATGATTTTGCAGGATTGAGGCTATACATGTATATGTACATGTATGGCAAAAAATGTGTGGCCGAGTGATTTTGGAGGATGCACTGTGTCAAAGTCTTAGGCCGGATCTTGTGTTGTATATGCTCAGCTGTGCATAATTTTAAGCCTAGATTATACTTGAAATCCTCCGCACTGCTCCGGGATGTCACTGGCCATGCCTCAACATACTGACAGTGATTGCTGGAGGATTTTGCAGGATTGAGGCAGTGGTCACCCCTCCAGGGAACACATCAAAGAAATAATGGATGACTTTGGAGGATTGAGGCAGTATGCAACTTAACACGGCTCCAGGCAGTTGGAGGATTTTGCAGGACTGAGGTTGCATCCCAGCAAAAATGCCTCTAGAGGGAGTTAGGGTTAACAAATTCAAGCCAAATTATCTCTTTTCTTAAGAAAAACATATACATGTAGCTTTCATTGGAAATATAATTTTTTTATTTTTGAGAATTCAGGCCGCCCTTTGTGCTCACTTTAAAAAAATGTTGGTAATAAAAGGGGATCAATGTTGGCTTGCAAGTGAGTATGATATAAATGGTTGAAGGCAAATCCAAAATCGAATATGTGCCGTTTCCTCCTTTTGGTGATAAGTGTATGACGCCCAAACCTGGTCTGGAAACAAGGGTAAAGACATGCCAAGTTTCCCCAAAGAGAAGTGATCCAAAAAGTACCTGGGAGAAAAAAAATTTAAAGGTCATATCTCAGTACTCTCTTATCGATTTCGAAAATTCAAATGGCTATGACTGAGCTCAGATTTATGTCTTCATTCAATTGACACAAAAAGCAGCTTTCAAAAGCTTTTTTTAACCAGTTAACACCGGAGGTGTGACGATCTGACAATGTACTATGTAGACCTATATTTGCAGGAGCGGGAGACGGGTTAAATTGTCAAGCTTTAAATTGTCAAGACAACAACTGCTTTCCACGACAACGCACTGGACGAAAATTGAACCATAGAGGTGAAAAAGGACAATTTTTGGGGAGGCCATTTTGAAAGGGTCTTTTAAGATCTCACTTTCACGCCGTAGTTATGTCTCCAGCGTTACATGTGAATTCCTGAGGCTGATGAGCATGGATTGTCAGCTGGAGTTACTCAAGCTACAGTCTAGCTATTGCACATCTCTTTTAGAACCATTTCATTTGCAATATATTCCTCAAAACGGCGAGAACTGTCTTAAAACCTGGATAATAATAGTTGCTAAACTTTTTCCAGTACTTGAATGATAAATAAAACCAGAGATGTTCACTACTTACGTATATATTTTGGCTGAAACTGAGGAGACCCTTGTTACCAACATGTCAACAAATACGACTGTCTTTTCATTGCCTCATGCATACACATTTTCTTCCTGGCTTAAACATCGCCACCAAGTGGTCACTTCAAGATATTTGGATCGTGTCCCCAACGCCACAATGCCATCCATGTTTTATGCCATATTCTGATATATTTATTGTGGTCCCCTGCCGTGTGTTGTGATACTTATCTCAACTAATCCCAACACGTAACAGTCGTCTGGTATACATATTCAACATGGAAAATAATGGCGGTGGAAGCGCACCCGACCATTGCTTAGCGCAGGTAAATAATGCGTGCTACTTAATGCAAAGTACCTTGCATTGACCTGTGACATGTGTTTACACTTGAGTGTGCTTCAGTGTGAGTTTACAAAAACAGACCTCCAAAAATTATCTGGAAAAACGTGAGTTGTCAGTATTTTACTATTCATCTTTTCATCATTTGGTGCATTATAGGTCTGCACTACATACTGTATTAGTATAATACTTCAATATTGAGTATATTATAAACCTTTTCGTATCTGAAAAAAAGTTGCCAGTTTTGCTATAGTCATGTTCCCTAACGTGGCACACTTCGAGGCTTACCCGACTTTCCTCGTGTAGTGTTGCCAAACCTCTTTGTTGACAAACCTTAAATTCATGCAGTAAACTAGTACTTTTACCTTATTAATGCTTGCTATTTAACCTCTGTGAACAATTTCGGTTTCATAAAATTTAATCCAAAATTCAAAAACGGTGGCGTCCGAAAATTTGGCACAAATTGGCGGGGTGTTCCCTAACGTGGCGCACTTGAATAAATCTCGGAAAATTCCAAATTAACATTTAAGAATTTCTGTAAACTTGATAAATTCTGATAAATAATTATTATCTCTACTTACATACCCAGCCAGATGTTTGTCAGAAAATTATTTTATTTTTCGGGGCATTTTCAAAGGGTTCACTTTGCACTTGAAAATAAAATCGGAAAATCACGCCAAAATAAATTTTTCTTTTCACTTTGTTACCGGTAAATAAACTCGCGATTTATGAACAGGAGTGCTTAGAACTTGATGAAATTTCACTTTCTGTGAAATTTCAGTTAAAACTTTTGCTCTAGCTAGGCGCTACAGGCGAAAAATCAAAGTGCGCCACGTTGGGGGCCGCGCCACGTTAGGGTACATCAACAATATTGTGAGTTTCCTAGCGAGTAGCGTTATGCATAGGGCCTAAACATAATGCTAGAATCATCCTAAGCTAGCTAGCTATGGTCTAGCCCGACTGCATCTGGCCGTACAGTAGGGACTATCGCAAGCTCTGTAGTACGGCCAGACCGCCAATGCTCCCCTAAACGCTGAACTCTGATGTAGCGATTTTGCTACCGATTTTGATCGAGATTATCTTTTCATCCAGGACAGAAATTTTCAAAGTTAAGGTTCCTAGACGTAGAGGAACTCATACCTTTTCGAAAAAAAAACGTTCTTTTATCCCAAAATCTTCATCCATCGGGCCAAAAGCTGACATTCAGTCATCACGAAAATCGTCCCGAAAATTTTCCTCCATGTGATTTCAAAATGCATTATTCAGTTCATGACCTCGTGTTTGTATGGCCAGCCGCGCTGCGCGCCCGACAAACGTCATAAACTGCAATGCATATTCATAATCTTGCCCAAGCACGCCCGCATAATGCATATATTACAACGCTGCTGCCATTTTAAAATCACATGGAGGACATTTTCGGGACGATATTTGTGGAAGATGATGACTGAAGTCGTCTTTTGGCCAGATGGATGAAAATATTGGGACCAAAGAACGTTTTTTTCGAAAAGGTATGAGTTTCTCTATGACTAGGAACCTTAAGTTTGGAAATTTTTGTCCTAGATGAGAAGATAATTTCGATCAAAATCGGTAGCAAAATCGCTACATCAGAGTTCAGCGTTTAGGGGAGCATTGGCGGTCTGGCCGTACTACAGAGCTTTCGATAGTACTGTACGGCCAGATGCAGTCGGGCTAGCTACGGTCATGCCAATAATCATTGGCGGCCACGGTAATGAGGTAGCACAGCCTCGACTCCAGGGCCGCGTGCTTGTTCCTTACACTAACCCCTGGCTGTGATGATGACGTAAATGACGCTGAATGGCTATTCACAGCGTACTGCGCGGGCATTTCAAAGATTGCACGCCAGGCGCGCCCATAATGCGCTCGCGTGCTTAGCTTTGCACGTAACGTCACGTACGAAAAAAAATTATGATTCAAAAGTCGCGATGCCTGTACGATATGGATTATGTCAGCCGCGTTTTTCGCAAAAAAAAACCTGTATCTGTGGTTGTAAAGGCACGAAAGGGGTACGTACATTTAATACAAATCTTTGCTAATTAACACAACGTCCAAATGTTGTGTTTGAAAGGATTGATTCTTCAAAATCACAACTTTTAACATTTTAAAGATGGCGTCGGCACGTAAAACGGATAAACTGCAGCCCTAATTAAAATGTACCGTATTTTGGTACATTTAAATTACACAATTCCAGGGGTTACGATCGCGCAAGGCATGATGGGAAACAACATGGCGCTGCAAGATCGTACCCACGGGGCACGAGGTTGGAGGTAGCAAGACGAGAATGCTCTCCACGACAACGCACCAGACGAAAATTGAACTCACTTGTGGCGCCTAAAGCGGTGTGGTACCCACATACATCGCGCGCGCAGATTTTTTTTTCGATGTCATCACGTGATGCATACATTTACATAATTTGCAAAACAAAATGGACGACAGCCGTTGGAACTGGCGTTTTTTTACGGACAAGCCACCGAAATCGTCAATATTTTTCACATTTTTTTTTGTGGTCGGTTTCAAGTCGATCACTAGGCTTCGTAAATGACTGCTGAATGTATGAGGTATGTAAATGAACTCTGGGGTGGGATATTAGAGGTGAAAATGAACAATTTTTGAGAGGCCACTTTTTAGGGTCTCTTGCTACCACATTCTAACGAACAGGTTATGCCTCCAGCGTTACATGTGAATGAATATGGAGCATGTCAGCTGGAGTTACTCAAGCTAGTAATGAGGTAGACCCGTGAACGTGGCGTTGTATACAACGCCACGTTGTTGTGTATTTTAAAACCTAGCGAAATCGATCCGACATACATAATTCCGTATGGGTGTTGAGTACTCACCTAGAAATCTAAATTTGCCCGTCCGATTGTTTAGGCTGTGTAATTTCGACGAAATTTGCCCATCAGTAAAGACCCATACGAACGTGTAGAAATTTCATTTTAACCCGCGACAGGTGTCCCTGACAAATGACCCCGGACAAGTCGCTTGGACAGATTGACGGCTGTTTCATGTCGCAACCCCGAAAAAAAACCCCCGCACCCGATTGGCTGCTCGGCTCATCTCGTGTACGTGTGCGCACACGCACGTGCACCCGCGTGCGGTGCGGTGAGAGAGGAAAGGACTTGAAACTTGTCTAAAACGATGTCTCTTTTAGCTGCGACAGTAAACAGCCGTCGAATTATACGAAGGACGGTACAATAAAACGCAATGCGCATGCGTCACTTGGGAGAAAATGGCAGCTAGCAGGACTTCATAAACCGGGGCACCGGGGCCAGAATTTTCCTCAAATTTCGTCAAATGCAAGTTTTGATGTACAAACAGATTTCAAGACAGCTTCATATGTGAGTACTTATTACATTTGCAAAATAACGTCCAGTGTGTGTAATGGAGGCAATCAGAGGGACAATTTCGCCAGGTTCTGAAATACACAACAGCGTGGCGTAGTTTACAAGGAATGTCAGACAAGTCGACCGTTGAGACAACTCGACTCGGGACAAGTCGACCGTTGAGACAACTCGACCGTTGAGACAGGTCGACCGTTGAGACAACTCGACTCGGGACAACTCGACCGTTGAGACTGCTCGACTTAATGGAAATGAATACACGTGGAGCAGAAAAAGTTGCACAAATCTGTGGCAAGACCGATCACGGGTGCGGCGCGGGCATACTCGATGTACAGAGGGCGTCGCGTCGGGCCGGTGCGCCCCGCCCGCCCGCGAGGACCGGGCCGGGCCCGGCACGCGGGCACGTCGACCAGCGCGGCAAATGGGCGCACAGGCCCGGCACAAACGATGTCACCGTGCACGGTACGGCCACGTTGACCGACCGGGGATGAGATAAGTGGGCCCACAGGGCTGGCAAAAACGATGTCACCGTGCACCGTACGGACAAGTTGACCGGCAAATGGGCGCACAGGCCCGGCAAAAACGATGCCACCGTGCACGGTACGGCCACGTTGACCGGGGATGCGCGCACGTGGCCTTGAAAAAAACGAACGATGTGCACGGACAATCACGCTGCGCTATATCGGCTCTGTTATATGCAACAAAAAAACTCATGTGTCATCACTCCCAAACGGCGATCAGCCGCCGTCAAAATCCCCGGTACTATCCCCGAAACTAGGCCCAAAACATGCGAGGCGACTTGTCTCAACGGTCGACTTGTCTTTCCATTTATCGCACATACGGTCGAGTTGTCTCAACGGTCGAGTTGTCTCAACGGTCGACTTGTCCCGAGTCGAGTTGTCTCAACGGTCGACTTGTCTGACCCCCGTTTACAAGCCACGTTCACGGGTCTAGTAATGACTGAATAGCTGGAGTTACCCAGCCCTGAGTTTTATCATTGGGTTGTCATCTAGGGCTGGAGCGCATTTTTCTCAAAACTTGTAGTATTTGCAAAAAAAATTTGGAAAATGTTCAATTTTGTCCCCGTTACACACTAATTGCAACTGCAACTCACCCCAAACTTGCCTGGAATAACCATTACACAGGTCCTTGAAGTAAAAAACGATCCACGATGAAGATTCAGCCTACAATTGCAGTGAAAACAGGAGGAATAACCGCTAACTTGACAACCTTGCTGGATTGGCCAGGACCGCTATTGGTTTGTGCACAAAAAAAATTGTGTACAATGAATGGCGGTCGATTAACAGGCACAGAGAGCGATCGCTGTCAACTACTCGGTTTTAGCCGGCTGCGCTGGCTGTTGGCGCATGACGTCCGCGGAAGCGTAACACCCGATGACTGTTTCATGCACTATTGGTTGCGGTTCCAGTACCAAAGCTGTGATGCGAGTGGTAAACCTTATATTAGTGCATGAAACAGTCATCGGGTGTTACGCTTCCTCGTGACGTCACGCGCCAACAGCCAGCGCAGCCGGCAAAACCGAGTAGTTGACAGCGATCGCTCTCTGTGCCTGTTAATCGACCGCCATTCATTGTACACAATTTTTTTTGTGCACAAACCAATAGCGGTCCTGGTCAATCCAGCAAGGTTGTCAAGTTAGCGGTTATTCCTCCTGTTTTCACTGCAATTGTAGGCTGAATCTTCATCGTGGATCGTTTTTTTTACTTCAAGGACCTGTGTAATGCCTAATGGTTATTCCAGGCAAGTTTAGGGTGAGTTGCAGTTGCAATTAGTGTGTAACGGGGACAAAATTGAACATTTTCCAAATTTTTTTTGCAAATACTACAAGTTTTGAGAAAAATGCGCTCCAGCCCTAGATGACAACTCAATGATAAAACTCAGGGCTGGGTAACTCCAGCTAATGACTGAATGAGGCAGCATATTTCGTTCTTTACTTACCTTGACAAAATATTCAGCAACATCATCATATAGTTCAATTAATTTTCGGGCTTTGCAAAAGTCAAATCAACCATGGAGGAATAAGAACACAACCACTACCAGTCTACATCAAAGTTTTAGCCTATTTCTTTTTGAGAAATCTGGCTGGTCAGCATGCATGGCATGCTGCAGTTTAGCGCAAAGAGAGCGTAGAGCGCCCTCCATAGTTCCAATTAGTGTAGTCGCTTTTTCCCATCCCAGGCGCTGAGGGCAGGCTAACTTCTGTGCTCTTTTGCACGTACCTGTAGTACTGAAACGCTGACTGATGACTGTCACTTTTGAATTATAGGCTTGCTTAAGTGTAGTCTAATTGGGTTGGCTCTGAAAAGAGCCGTTGTTTTGTTGTTACAAAAGTCAGAGGAAAACCCATTTCACGGAAGAAGTCTGCTGTTGATGAAATGATGCTGAGATGACTGGGTCTTGACTTGTACGCAAGCAGGGGCGTCAATCGCTTCTCAAAAGTGGGGGAGACATACCTTGATCAGAATTAATGCGAGCTCGAATCATTTTCATTATCAGCCATTCAATTTCGCGTGGTTTTTACAGATGTGATCAAATTGGGGTTTCTTTTACATTTTGGGGGCATTCAATTTCATTTTTAGGCAGCCAAGATTTTGCTCTGAATGTTCGTTTTCGTTTTGGGGCATTCTGTTTCGTTTTTGCGCATTCAAGACTTAATTTGTAGCATTCTTAAATTAAGTCTTTGCAACCTTTTGACGGTTGATGCATTCAAATTAGCGAACGTCGGTGTGTTTGAGCAAGGGGCATCTTTACGTTGACGATTTCTTGACGTGCAAGACATCGGGGCGAGTTTGGCAATGGTTGTACCATTGGGAACTTCTCTTGGGTTATTTCTTAAATGTTTTCTTGCGTATGTCTGACCGAACACATATTTAAAGGGCCCATGCAAAGTAATTTTGCAATACAAACCTTAACAATACATCAGTTTGTGACACATTTTACCTTATTTTTAAGTTTTATTTTTCCAAGGTTGAAGAGTGTTGTTGGTGCCTTCTACGTTTTATGCTTATGCACAGTTTCATATTCATGAGCAACACTTTGATGTCATTCTGATGGCGGATCAATGTTACATGGCTATTTCAGCACAACAAGTTGCTATAGAATTATGGATATTTTGCTCTCATAAATTTCTCCTTTTTTTGGCGATTCTTTGTTGTGTCAGTACATGGCAGTAAGCCAATGAGCAACCCTTTCTCACCGTAAAATAATGTTTACAATCAGCCAATTTTGGTGTAAATAATTTGGAAAAAAACCCTAAACCGAATAGTGTCTTCCTGAAATCAGCAACAGAAGATTAACCAAAAAGGATGTCGAATGTGTAGTTTTCATACATTTCAGAGTAGTAGAAAGTTGCGCAAAATGTATTCCTGAGAAAAATTCATTGCCGGACCCTTTAATTAAGAAAGAGAGGTGTGCATTTACGGATTGAAGACATCAGATTATGATTTACGTCGAGATAATTACATGCATCAGGAAGTCTTAAAACATGCTTGAGCAAATGTGACATATGTTTGCTCATTAACGAAAAGGAATGCCTGATCAACTGCTTCAGAAGAAATTGACTGAACAACACGATATGTTTAATTTGAATAATCTTTTAAAGGAACGACTGAAGCTAAAAGACGATAGATTGCTCGGATAGCGAAATTGAATGATTCTTTTTGATTGTCGAATGACGATCTGCGTAATCTTTCAAGTACGTAGCATGCTTGGTTAGGACCATAGAGCTACATGTATAGTAAATTACTAGAGCGCTAACTCGTTGTACAAAGAGATGCCTGATGGGCGCATCCATGTTTGTACACAAACCTATGGGAAAACTCGAAATTTTGTACGGCTTTTGTACGGCTATTTGCATATCTGCGTTTGTATTCCATACCGGTGCGTCATCGAAGCCGATATGCCCTAAACCGAAACGCACGATCAGCAAAAATGAACGTTTCTTTTTTTCCCTGCGCAAACAGCGTAATGCGTGCGCGTATTCGCTGCAGATGCGTTTTGCCGTGACGTTTTTTGAACTGTCATGACGCGTTTAAGTTGTTTGCGTATGTTCTACTTGCGCGTTGCATGTAGAGTACACTTTCAAAATTCAATCCATCTAATTTCATTGTGTTCTACAAACACGCACATGCATAAAATTCAAAATGTCTGCGCCCAGGACGGCTTCAAAGCGCTCCGCGCGCAAGAATGAGGAGTTAGCACTCTAGTAATTTAACATAGCTCTATGGTTAGGACCCTCAAGTCATTATAAACATAGCACTGTGTGCAGACCTTCAAGGCATGGGCATCGATGGGGGCACCGTTCCAGCAAGTATTCTGCCTACCTCTCAGAGACCTGACATTGTCCTGCATTTCCCAGATGTTTGAAAAGTGGTTTTGATGGAACTGACCGTACCATTGGAGCCTAACATTAAAAAGGCTATACAGGGGCGGATCCAGGAATTTTTGCATGTAATGTATACAGTTTTTTTTCTCCGGACACTTGAGCTTACATAAAGGCAGTCCTCTGTTTTTGTACATATACATGTATTTAGATTGCAGCGATCTCAGGACGAATGAGTGGAAAATGTGTTGGCTCTGAAAAGAGCCGTTTGATTTAGAGTCTCTCCTTGCGATACAGGGCGTATGGATTTTAACTTTTCGAACTAACTTTTAGAAACAATGAACATCTAAGTTTTATGCGCCCAAAATTCAGAAAATACATGAAAACTAAAAGTGCGATGGAAAGGCACAGAATGAATGAGGGATTAGCAGTACCAGGACGACCTGGATTTTCTAGTATTTTTTTTTTATTATACAATTATATCCCGAGATAAGCCAAAATGTTGGGTCGCACTAAAAAGCGTCAACACAGCGTCAACACATGACAGAAGCGTCAACACACCGTCAACACATCCAAAACACATTCTGAATTGACCAAAATGGTATATAATTGTAAAGCATAGAATAAATGAGATTTTCTATTGGATTGAGTTTCCATTTCGTGGTAACAAATATAGTATTTTCACGCGAAAAAATGACCTTTCACTTGCACGGCCGTTGTCCGCCATCTTGACTTCGCACAAAGCTTGGACTACACCATTTCAAGTAGGGGTGTGTATGTAATGACATTATCGTGTCATAAACATTAACAACAGAGGGATACCAGATCTGTAAGGACTGAGGATCGGAGTGGTGGATCATTAATGTGTGAGTTGTGTTTATGTTTCATTTTATACTTTATTCATAAATACCTCGGACAGTTTAGCCATTCCTATTGGTCGAGAGCCCGTCACGTGGCCGGTATTAAACGGATGATAAAGACATGGCTAGCTGGTCTTAAACACTTTTCCAGTGTCACAATAAAATGTGGACTCCTAAAAATCCAGTGCCTCTTATCGTTTCATTGGTTGAACGTTCACAATCCTCACGTAGGCATGCGCAACACTACCAGGGAGTTAGAATTTTATAGTTCTAAATTCAAAACGCAACGCGCCAGGTGCGTTCTGCGCGACATCGCGTAGAACATGATACGCGCGCGTCAATCTCCATAAAAGGGTTGTTTTCATCTTACTCGCCAGCTGAACACTCCATTATTTTGCAGGAGGGATGTTTCAAAAAGCATAAAGTGAATTTGTTGAACAAAATCGGGATGTTTTGAACGAATTATATGATTTTTTTTTACCGAAAAGGTATTTATGAATGGGAATAAATATGTACTCCGTCGGTATTTATCACTCTGTTTAAGACCACTTAGAGTCTGGGTGCTGATAATTACCCTCGCCTCCGGCTCGGGTAATTATCAGCACCCAGACTCTAAGTGGTATTAAACAGAGTGATAAAAACCTCCAGAGCACACATTTATTCCCTTATTCATAAATACCTCAGACAGTTTAGCCATTCCTATTGGTCGAGAGCCCGTCACGTGGCCGGTATTAAACGGATGATAAAGACATGGCTAGCTGGTCTTAAACACTTTTCCAGTGTCACAATAAAATATGGACTCCTAAAAATCCAGTGCCTCTTATCGTTTCATTGGTTGAACGTTCACAATCCTCACGTAGGCATGCGCAACACTACCTGGGAGTTAGAATTTCATAGTTCTAAATTCAAAACGCAACGCGCCAGGTGCGTTCTGCGCGACATCGCGTAGAACATGATACGCGCGCGTCAATCTCCATAAAAGGGTTGTTTTCATCTTACTCGCCAGCTGAATACTCCATTATTTTGCAGGAGGGATGATTCAAAAAGCATAAAGTGAATTTGTTGAACAAAATCGGGATGTTTTGAACGAATTATATGATTTTTTTTTACCGAAAAGGTATTTATGAATGGGAATAAATATGTACTCCGTCGGTATTAATCACTCTGTTTAATACCACTTAGAGTCTGGGTGCTGATAATTACCCTCGCCTCCGGCTCGGGTAATTATCAGCACCCAGACTCTAAGTGGTATTAAACAGAGTGATAAAAACCTCCGGAGCACACATTTATTCCCTTATTGAAATGGACATCTTTTGGTATTGGCCGGCCGCGCCCTCTCTGTTGGTTTATTGTACACCGTTATCACCCTTTAGCATAATGGTATGGTCTACCGAGGCAACATGGCAGCCGATTTCGGAGCGGCACGGAGAGCCAATATTCTTGAACGGATAATCGCAATTTTCAGACGCTTAACAGACGTTTAACCTATTAATTTTAAGCCAAATCTTGTTTCTGTCCATAATGTATGGGTTACATACTGCTTTTGTCACTTGCATTTTGGATGTGTTGACGCTTTGGAGTGTGTTGACGCTGTGTTGACGCTTGTTAGTATGACCATTAAAATCAATTTTAAAAATGGGAACAAAATGATTAAAAAGAATTCGTTAAAAAAACACTGGGCCTATGCATTGTACCAAATCTCTCTTTGGAAAATGTGTTGGCTCTGAAAAGAGCCGTTTGATTTAGAGTCTCTCCTTGCGATGGTCATACGGAAACTCTGTTTTCTGCTGATTTTCAGACGCTTAACAGACGTTTAACCTATTAATTTTAAGCCAAATCTTGTTTCTGTCCATAATGTATGGGTTACATACTGCTTTTGTCACTTGCATTTTGGATGTGTTGACGCTTTGGAGTGTGTTGACGCTGTGTTGACGCTTGTTAGTATGACCATTAAAATCAATTTTAAAAATGGGAACAAAATGATTAAAAAGAATTCGTTAAAAAAACACTGGGCCTATGCATTGTACCAAATCTCTCTTTGGAAAATGTGTTGGCTCTGAAAAGAGCCGTTTGATTTAGAGTCTCTCCTTGCGATGGTCATACGGAAACTCTGTTTTCTGCTGACGGCAGAAGTCTGCTGCTGATGAACATGCCGAGATTGCTGGGTCTTGACTTGGACGGAGCCGGCTGCAAGCGGCACAGGTTGGTTGGACAGTACTTGATGGTATGTGCCTCATCTCCGCTGGTTCCACACAGTGGACAAATGTAAGCCCGTAGCCTAGGACAGACCACCTTGTCACAAGGGCGGATCCAGGGGGGGGGGCAAAGGGGGCCATGCCCCCCCCCCCCTAAAACGAAACCAATTTTTTTTTTTTTTTTAATGTGACAACGCAATAAAGGCAGGCAATGAGTACACCACCATGTTTTCCTCAAAAAAATTGGTTAAAGTGGTCAGAAATTGCCTCAGATCGCACCACAGAGCATCTAGAATCCAAAAAATTTTCGGGGAACTTACGGGCCCCGAACCCCACGCCGTAATTTTTTAGACCCACTTTTTTGGGGGACCACATTTTTTTGGCCCCCCAAAAAATTGTGTTCTGGATCCGCACTTGCCTTGTCAAGGCTGTTCTTGAGGATGTGTGAGGTGTAGACCGCTTCTCCCTCGCCGTTGTTTTTGCAGAAGACACACCAGGTTCGCTTGGGAACTACCCACCGATCGCCACGTCGAGATGGTCCGGTCTCACGGGACAGCTCGTCGATTGTGAAGGGACGGAAACCGGTGGCGGACTGGCTGTCGTTGCTGCTGGTCTCCTGGTCCGGCTCCGATGTCTGGCGTCCGGAGTATGAAGAACTGATCCTCAGATGACTCCGAGACAGGGGCAGGCCTTGGAGAAGCTACGCTGGTTTTGGACTGGCTAGGCCAAGGAAGTCATAAGAGCGGTCAAACTCTCTTGTTTCTGTGATGACAGACATCTCGAATGGTTGCTCGTTTTCTTGAAGAAAGAAAGAACTGAAAGTGCTGGTAGACATATTGAGGTATACACTCGAGAACGGAACTGATGTTACTGGTTGATGGATGAATTCCAAAGTGATGATCAGCAGACAAACAGGCCACTCTTTATCCTGAAAATCTTGAACTAGGTCTGTACATAGACAATAAGAAGAAACCGTTGGCGGCAACATAACAGGTGCATGCGGCATCTGTGATACCCTTGATGGTTGGCCGCACCGCTTGACGGCGGTACGATCACACGCGAGTAGTCAACAATAGAGGGCGACCGACTCGGCCTGCAGAATCCAATTTGCGGTTTGTCCAGCAGGCGTTTTTTTTCCACGCCATTATCCTTACAGCAACTAGGCCTACACTGCAGTTTCTTTCATGGGTTTGGCTTTATTAGGTGTTGATGAAGCTATATTAAAATGACTTGTATTGAAAGCACTTGGGCTTTTTAGTTTCTGCTCGTTTTCTTATTTGAACAGGTATTCAGTGATGTTTAGCCGTTGTAGAACAAACGTCAATAGGTAGAAGATGATGCCCCGTGCTCTTAAAACAAATGGAATTTACTTCTATAATTGTTCATTGCTAGGTACATGCGACATGAATTTGTTTCTTGCGCATTTTATTTTCGTCAGAATGTACTCCACGAATCACAAATATCGGCCGGCTGTTCATCACTAAATCCATAAAAATTAATGACCACCTTAATGACCACTGTTCATCTAAACCTGCAATATTCGGTTCATAATTTAATGTTTAATTTAATGCTTGCGGTAGCCAATATAAAATGGCGCCAATGTTTACAAACAAAAGAAAGGTCTATACCTCAAATGACTAGATGCACGTATGGGGGGAAAAGTACTTGCAATAGAGCAATTGTATATTTCCAACAGAAACAAAGGGCAGGATTAAATGGTAGATCGACGAGCCTTTTATATTGATCTTCAAAAGTTTGTTATGAGTGGTACCACTTCTTAAACCTTTCAACTTTTTGTCATATTCAAAGTTGTGAAGAAATAGAAAAATGAAAAGCACATTGTACCCTAATAAGCCATTGTCAATGTTTTTAATAGCAAAATTTGCAGTCAATTTAAAAAAAAAATTAATGGGGGAAAATGGTTTAAAAGAATTCGTTTAAAAAACTGGGATGCATTGTACCAAATCTCTCTTGGAAAAGTGTGTTGGCTCTGAAAAGAGCCGTTTGATTTAGAGTCTCTCCTTGCAATGGTCATACGGAAACTCTGTTTTCTGCTGACGGCAGAAGCCTGCTGCTGATGAACATGCCAAGATTGCTGGGTCTTGACTTGGACGGAGCTGGCTGCAAGCTGCCCAGGTTGGTTGGACAGTACTTGATGGTATGTGCCTCATCTCCGCAGGTTCCACACAGTGGACAGATGTAAGCCCGTAGCCTAGGACAGACCACCTTGTCAAGGCTGTTCTTGAGGACGTGTGAGGCGTAGACCGCTTCGCTCTCGCCGTTGTTCTTGCAGAAGACACACCAGGTTGGCTTGGGAACCACCCATCGGTCGCCACGTCGAGATGGTGGGCCAGTCTTACGGGACAACTCGTCCATGTTGAAGGGACGGAAACCGGTGGTGGACTGGCTGTCGTTGCTGCTGGTCTCCTGGTCCGGATACATGTTTGGCGTCTGGAGTCCAAAAAACTGTTCCGATGACTCCGGGACAGAGGGAGACCTTGGAGAAGCTACGCTGGTCTTGGTGATGAGACGGGCTAGGCCAAGGTAGTCATGGAAGCGATCAAACTCTCTGGGTTCTGTGACAGGCATCTCGAAGTCTGGCTCGTTTTGTTGAATGAAGAGACAACTGAAAGTGCTGGTATATCTTGAGGTATACTCGAGAACTAAACTGATGTTAACTGGTTGATGGATGAAATCCAAAGTGATGACCACCAGACGAACTGGCCAGATTTTATCCTGAAAATCTTGAATGAGGTCGGTACTTAGACAATAAGAAGAAACCGTTGGCGGCAACATAACAGGTACATGCGGCATCTGTGATACCCTTGATGGTTGGCCGCACCACTTGACGGCGGTACGATCACACGCGAGTAGTCAACAATAGAGGGCGACCGACTCGGCCTGCAGAATCCAATTTGCGGGTAAGTCAGCAGGCGCTTTTTTCACGCCATTATCCTGATAGCAACTACACTGCAGTTTCTTTCATGGGTTTGGCTTTATTAGGTATTGATGAAGTTATTAAAATGACTTGTATTGAAAGCACTTGGGCTTTTTAGTTGCTGCTCGTTTTTTTATTTGAACAGGAATTCAGTGTTGTTTAGCCGCTGTAGATGGACTTTTCTTCAACTAGTAACATGTAGGCCTATTTGTTTCTTGTCCGAAAGGGCTTACACGGAGCATAGAGCACCAAACCCTATATGTAGCTCAATGCACGGAACTACGGCTACGAATTATTGACAACATGCAGTATCACATTTCATATTAATATGAACAAAATTGGAAAGGAAAGGAATATTTTCGAGAAGGTGTGGACGAATGATCGCAAAAACACGTACTGCACGTTGATAATAACAACACCAAGTACACGATATAAATCCATTTCTAGCCAATTTCGGTATCGAATCAGGATACAGGAAGAAAGTTTCCTATCCAGGGCTTACTAGTGGAAACGAGGTTGGAAATAAAGTAAGCACTGGGGACGAGGTTGGTGAAGCTCATCAGCCGCTCCCAGCGCCCTGTTTGCAGGGCGGGGGGTACGAGCGAAATTCGAGATATGGGCGACACAATAGGAGGGCGCTATTTGCTTTTGGTAAATACAAAAGTCTGTATACCCCAATCAAACAGCGCCATCCTATTGTTTTTGGCATACCTCAATAGATCTTTATCATGCTGTCACCATTTCAGTCATGTTACCTGTATCCAATAACAGTACTGAATGTTAATTTTTTTTGTGCAAATAGAAACCAGACTTTTTTTCCTTCCAGTCTGCTTTGGTTACGTTGATTTGAATGGGAAAAACATCATGATGGCCGCAACACGATAATGGTCCATTAGGCCAATGGGTTATTTGTCGAGGCCTGTATAGACCTTTGTACGCTTGGTTGGCAAACAGCACATTTTGCTAAGAAATTTCTATAGAACAGTGTTTTCAAGGGTAGCCTCGGTTTCGATGCGGAGTTGCGCAGAACAGGCCACAGTGTAATTAGAAAACTGTCTATTCAACGCTTCGAAACTATAGCCTCTGCATGCTCTAAAGACAAGTCTTCAAATCATTATGAAATTTGATTTTTTTTTAAATTTTTTTTTAAATACCGTAGTCGTGCCAACTTAATGTTTATTCTAATACAAGTAACCGTATCGGTTTTTTCGGCTTCTTATTAAAAACATTTTCCCCATTCCGATCCACCAATTCTTTATTCAAATTTGTCCAAGAATAATTTCAGATGTTTTGGGCAAAATAGATTTAGTCCTTTATCATTCAGTTTAAAAATTTGGTCAACCTTCTTAAAACTAGCTCAAGAATATTTGTCAATACAGATTGAATTCGGCACCTAGCTGTTGCCGAATGACAGCATTCAGAGATCAGAAAATTACGATTAAATTGTGTAGAGTTAGCAGAGTCCGGCGTAGGCGAGACCTCCTGCCGAGACGAATAACTGTGCGCCCACGATTTAAATTTGCTTCAACTAACATTGAGATTGTACGATAAGTGACGAAATTTAATAAACGATGGAAGTGCATATAATCGGTTTTGTTGGATGAATTTCAATATTATAATCAGTGAATTTGAATGGTAAACGAATAACCATAACAACTTTAAATACTAAAAAAAAAGTCATTGTGCTCTGTGGATTCAGACAAACTAATTATATTGCTTTTTATTACGTTGCTTAACTGCAACCATTTGATGGGGATTTTTTTTTCTGCATACCAGACTAGTCAGAGGCCCGTGGAGACGAGGATGCATTTTTTTCCACTACGAATGCGCGAATCTGAATGGCACTCGCATAAATGATTCCAATAATATTTCTATTTTACAACAAACAATTAAAAGACGTTATTTTCAAATCAATATTTGGTCCAGTCAATGCGTACTCATTGAAACAAGTTTGAGAACAGAAATAAAAGCGCCGATACTGGAATACCACGAATAATTGAGTACATAACAATGATCTTACTTGAGTAAAAGTCAGTTTGGTAACGGGTCTGGTACCACAGTTCCTACTCAGTTCAAAACTCCAGGCAATGCTGTTTAGAGTTTTTGTCACGACTTGTATTGCTCATAATTGTCAAAAGCAAAACTCTTACGAAAAGAAATGTTATGTTTGGCAGTTTGCCAGATGGGTGTTTATGCTTAGTATTCCGGCATTGCATTACCAAAACCTGTTCCGTGAAGAAATCTTCCAACGAATAAGTTACAAACGACCCACCCAAAATTGAAATTCTTCTGATAAGTATAGCAATCAGTATACCAGGGGGGAATCGCAACTTGGTTCCCCAATACCTATTTACAGTTAAATATATAACTATAGAGAATAGAATTTGGGAGTGATGCGTTATCAAACGAATATCTGCCTGGACACGGGGCACATTAAAACTTAGCCTTTAGTCAAGTCCCACGCGCTTACCCGGACACGTGACGCACCCCGGATGCTGACACGTACAAAGACTAGGACGAGCGGCGTAGCCGCGAGGGCCTTTACCATCTCGTGGAGAACGCTTATGTTTTTCTTTACATTTGTCTACCGATTTGGTAGACATGCATAATGCATTACCCGTTGTGAATTGACCAATGAAAATGCAGAACTTGTTACTAATGGTAAATCATGCAGCCGTCGTCTGGCGCCAGACAGCCAACAGCCATGGCGCGCGTGCTGTTGCTGGTAATCGCAAACCACCGTTAGATGATTGGTTTATATTGCTTGATTTATATTACGTGAATAAATGAATAAGTGATTAGTTCCACGAGATAGTAAAGGCCCCGCGCGGCTTGCGTAATTTTTATTCCTAGGAGGGTTAGGGGCAATGTCATGAATAATTCATGTTTATCCATGAGAACGGACAATGACATCAACAGCATTGTTGTTAGTTACTCAACTAGTTACAATACATTAAAGCTTTTTAAAGAACGGTTATCGTCGAGCTACCACACAGTAGCCTAGTGGATAGCGAGATGAGCTATGGATACAAAGATCCCTGGTTCGAATCCACGTCGTCGCTGCTCATTTTCATCAGCTATTTTTCTTCTCAAAATTTATCACTGAGAAAATTTTAAATTAAGGAGAAAATAGAACGAGAACCTAAGTCTTGCAATGATTCAAAGGAAAAACTGAATTATTCATGACATTGCCCCTAACCCTCCTAGGAATAAAAATTACGCTACCCGCCGTACCATAATGCGCCCTCATGCGTCAAATCCAGACCAACATGTTAAAAACGTACATGTGGGTGCAGACCAGTAAATCGGTCCGAAATTGCCTGCGCCGGCCAAATCACAATTTGCATGCCCTCAAAATCTTCGGTATTTGAGCATGCTGTGGGCCATGAACTTGAGGGTTTGTAAAAAATATGGGTGGAAGCCGTGCACAGGACTGGGAGCTTGCAGTTCTGTGTAATTTTGATGTAATTTGGACCCTAAAAGCGCTCTATTTTGCAATGGAGTGTAGGCATCGTTTTTCAAAATGGCGATGGGCTTCAGGACTATTTTCAGGGGTGATCATCTTCAGATGTAAATTTCTCCTAAAAGTCATCAGTTGACCCCCCGAAAATTGAAAAGAAAATGAAAGATGATGAAATAAGCTTTAATTTGATGTGTGTCTCGAACACCTTGGAGAGTTGTGAGTATTTTTCCCGAATTTTTGAAGTGGGAGCATTTACCATTGGGGTCTATGGAAGTTTATTTACTGGTCTGCTACCTATAATAGGGTGCAGACCAGTAAATCGGTCCGAAATTGCCTGCGCCGGCCAAATCACAATTTGCATGCCCTCAAAATCTTCGGTATTTGAGCATGCTGTGGGCCATGAACTTGAGGGTTTGTAAAAAATATGGGTGGAAGCCGTGCACAGGACTGGGAGCTTGCAGTTCTGTGTAATTTTGATGTAATTTGGACCCTAAAAGCGCTCTATTTTGCAATGGAGTGTAGGCATCGTTTTTCAAAATGGCGATGGGCTTCAGGACTATTTTCAGGGGTGATCATCTTCAGATGTAAATTTCTCCTAAAAGTCATCAGTTGACCCCTCGAAAATTGAAAAGAAAATGAAAGATGATGAAATAAGCTTTAATTTGATGTGTGTCTCGAACACCTTGGAGAGTTGTGAGTATTTTTCCCGAATTTTTGAAGTGGGAGCATTTACCATTGGGGTCTATGGAAGTTTATTTACTGGTCTGCTACCATGTACATGTTATTTTTATGTGATGCACATGCTCTGCAACACATGTACATGTACGTACATAGTACGCGTGTTGTACAATGTATACAGTGTGTGCGCATTGTTATACGGCACTGAAGTTGAACGCGTGCTGAAGTGTACCTTGTCGTGCCTCTGGAAAGACGTAAAGTAAGTAATTTTTTGGATTTTTTTTAAAGATACCGACTTAAGGCAATTCCGACTTGAGTCAAGTCTAGTATGCGCCCACACTGTGTGTACATTATGTGTGTGTGTGCATGTACAGAGCATGTGCATATGTGATTCAAAAATTAGCAAAAGTCCGACTTGATCAATCTGCCATCAGCACCCCCCCCCCCCTCGCGTGTTCGCGCACGTATGCAACGACGCATTTTGCAAGGGCATAATAAAATTCAATTTTTTTTTAAATTTTATTTCTTTCTGGTAATGAAACCAAGGATTCCTCAAAAGTACCAAAGGCACTGTAGCTCGAACGCCTGAAGAAAACTGTAGAGAGGAGACAATGAGAAGAAGTTACAGTTTTAGAGGTGGGAGGAAAAACCCAGAGGAATATTCTGAGGATAACCCACGGAATCAGGTAGGGACTGAAAATGCAATCCACATATTGGATTCGAACCCGGGTCACAGCCGTGGAAAGCGAGGAAAGAACCCCTACGCCAACTGACTCCCCACTGAGATAACGGGGAAAAAAGTTTGTG